CAGGCTCCTTACTTAGCACAGAATCTGCTTGAGATTCTCTCTCTCTGCCCCTCCCCCTGCTCCTGCTCTCTCTCTCTCTCTCTCTCTATAAATGGATAGACAGATAGATAGAAAGATAAATATTCAAGACAAAAAACTAGTTTAGGGCTTAGCAGACCCCATTGCCCTGGAAGTGCCTCAGTACTCTATAAAAAATGGAATGCTTAGTTTCCCTCATCTCCTGGGCACCCTGTCTGTCTGGTACATGAATTTTTATTGCATCCGGCTCAGGGACTCCTGTGGCCTCATCCGGATCCCGCATCATGTAGAGCGGAAGACGGTCCTCCAGAGAAGCCTTGTCTAACGCGGGTACACTGTGATGCCATGTGGCTTGTGCCATTCTCCAACGCATTCCAGCACTGGAAGAATAACATCTTGCCAACCTACTGCAGTGATGATATAGTTTCCCACAATATAATGTTTCTTGGGCTCCTTTCCAGTAAATGAGAGTTGCCTAATACTGGACAGATTCTGGAGTGGGAATCCTCTTAAGTAAGCATCTTTTGGAGGAAGCGTGGGCATGGAGGCGGCTGGGGATGCCGAGCCCGGGGCTGGCGCCGCTGCCTAGGGCACCCCATGGGCTCCGTGGGGGCACAGCCCGGTGCTGCACAGATGGCTGTCCTTCCGCTGCCTGCGCTTGCCCTCGTGATCCTCCTCTTTGTGTCCGCCACTCTCAGGTGCCAGGAGCAGGCCCAGACCACTTACTGGTGGGCCACCCTGAAGACCATCCAGAACGGCGTTCACAAGATAGACATGTACCTGAACGCCGCCTTGGACCTTCTGGGAGGTGAGGATGGGCTCTGCCAGTACAAGTGCAATGAGGGGTCTAAGCCTTTCCCAGGTTACGGTTATAACCCCTCCCCGCCGAATGGATGTGGCTCTCCACTGTTTGGTGTTCACCTTAATATTGGCATCCCTTCCCTGACAAAGTGCTGTAACCAACACTGCAGGTGCTATGAGACCCGCAGCAAAAGCAAGAACGACTGCAATGAGGAATTCCAGTCTTGCCTCTCTAAGATCCTCCGGGATGTGCAGAAGACACTAGGACTGGCTCAGCACGTTCAGGCCTGTGAAACCACAGCAGAGCTCTTGTTCAACAGTGTTATGCATTTAGGCTGTAAACCTTATCTGGACAGCCAACGAGCTACACGTAGGTGTCGCTGCAAAGAAAAAAGTGATCTTTAAAGAATATGCTGACAGTTGATGACAGCAGATAAGGACAGAAGAGTATAGCCTTTGACAAAAACTACTGTTTTTACAGCATAAATCTGCCTTATTTTTGTGAAAGGAATATTTTAAGACTTGATTTTGGCACTAAAACTACAAACTAGAGGAAAAAAAGTGGGGGAGGTGATCTTCCTGGATGTTGCAGCCTGATTGTACCGAATTGCCTTGACCAATCTCAGAAAAGGTGCATGTTAAGGGGAGAATATTTTAAAAGAAAGAGTCTGTAACTCAGTTTTCACAACTGTACTTACCAAAACACTGAGGTCAAAATATAAAATTGATTACAAGGTATGTTGAACATGATCTTATTTGGAAATACGGGAAAATCTTCACTTTGAAGTATACATTTATTATAAAATTTTAAATATACATTTATTCCTGGAAAAAAAAAAAGTAAGCATCTTTTGGATTTTGATCACTTTTATTGATGGTTGTCAATCAATTCTTCCATCATAGCTGCCCAGATAAATTACTTCTTTAAGAAGTCTTGGGGATTATTTAGTTTCCCAAGACCATTGAGATTGTCCAGGGGTTAATGATTCTATTTGCTTACCATCTGATCTTGGCATATCTTGATCCAGTCTGATTCTTAATAACTCCATTACCACCTTAGTCTCTGTATAGTCTCTTTATTAGTACCTTATAAAAGACTATCTCTTCTAACCTTTTTTTTCTCCCGCTTTTGATCCACAGCAATAGGCTTAACATTTAGGACCATCCCTTGCTTTCTAAATCCTTCTTTAGCCCAGACGTGAATTTTAGTGCTTTTACTTTACACCAGAAGCATTTATTGACACAGCTCTGAATTAGACTTTATCAGAATTAAATAAGAATATTGATGGAAAGAGATCTGTATGTTTTGATTAATAACCAAACTATCTGGTCTAGAGCTGGTCAAAGGTGATGTTGAAGGTTTTGAAGGAAAACTTGCTTAACTCCACAGATTACAGTAATACTTTCATCAAAAGATTCCTACTGATTTTTTTTTTACCCCCATCAGAAGTCCGATGGTAGTATTTTCAATATCTCAGAAGTTTATGAGAAAATGGCTGGGAACTGGTTCACAGTATGCAAATTCAACTAGAGAATAGTTTATTTCTCATGAATGATGAATTAACTCTGAGGAAATAAGATTTCAAAACTATTGTTACTATTTTCAAAATTAACTAATTCTTTGTTCTAGATACAATAAAGTTAAATAATACATGCTTCAATTTTGTAGCTGGAAAGATCCTTAGGGGCAATGTTGTGCTGGAGATTCACAATGACAAGCAAAAGCTGACTGTGCACACATATCCCCAGCTCCACATTTACTGATAACATACTGAATCATTGAAATTGAACCATTGAAATTGCCTTGGTGGGATGTATATGGCATGGAAATCAGCAAATGCTACAAATTAGGACTCCTCGCCCCACAAGATGGCTTTCACCAGCTCCCCACTGCATAAGGGTCACCTAGAGTAAACCAACAACCTCATTTTTTCGTTAAGATTTTATTTATTTATTTGACAGAGAGACCACAAGCAGGGGGTGCAGCAGGCAGAGGGAGAGAGAGACGCAGGCATCCTGCCGAGTGTGGAGCCTGATGGGCAGTTTGATCCCAGGACCCTGGGATCATGACCTGAGCTGAAGGCAAACACTTAACCGACTGAGCCACCCAGGCGCCCCCAACCTCATTTGTTTTTAATAGATAGAACACTTTTAAGGATTTACTCAAGAAGCCAAAAAATTAGATGAACTTAGGACTAGAACCCAATAGTTTCACATCCCTTGTTTGATCCTCTTTCTGATATGCAATAAGATATCATCCTAACCCTTGAATCCAGAATTGAAATTTATCAGTGACATTAACAAAGCTGTGTTAAACTTACTGTACCCCCATAGGCTTCAGTTTCCTTATCTAGAATCTAAGGTTATAGATTTGATTTCTAAAATTTTTTGACTCTGACATTTCATAATAATCCCACAATTAGAATTGGGTCTAATAATGAGAAAAATAGAAGACATATTACAGTTCTTCCTGATTGATTTCAGGAACCTAAAGTGGGTCATTATTTCACCACACAGTACAGTTTTTTGATGGTTAGAGTGACCATATCTCCATCCCCAGAGAAGATAATGTTTCCTGGTTTACTCTGCTGTTATTCAATAATAAGGAATAACATCTCTTTTAAATATTGAGGCCAGATCTTAGCTGTTAAGAGATCTTGGTTAAGTGAATGTAGTATTATTATACACTTTAGGTGAATGAGACCTGTTGTAGACCTCTCCTGTATCACAGCAGATAAGGGGTGAACACCTTTTCCAAAACAGTGTAGCTGCTGCTGCTTTTTTAAAAAATAGGCTCCAAAAAAAAAAAAAAAAAAAAAAAAGGCTCCACACGGAGCCCAGTGTGGGGCTTGAACTCATGATCCTGAGATCAAGACCTGAGCTGAGATCATGAGTCAGACACTTAACTGACTAAGGCACCCAGGCACTGCCCCCCAAAACAGTGCTTCAGATCTGTATTTATTCATTTTAATGGGGACTGGGGAGTTTTTTGTAATAGTTAAAAGTCCATACCACCTGGATTAGAACCCAAATGCTATCCTTAACTATAAATATGACCTTGGGCAAGATGTCCAACTGCTCTGTTCTTCAGTTTCTTCATCTAAAAAATGAGAATAGTAGTACATAGTTCCATTCTCATCACAAGAAAAAAGTTTGTACCTTTATATTAACTAGACTTTTTGTAGTGATCATGTTCCCATATATACAAGTATTGAATCATTATGCTGTTCACCTGATATTAATGTTATTTCTTGTGTGTGTGTGTGTGTGTGTGTTTTGGAGTTAATCCATTTTTTAAAATTTAAAAATAATTTTTAATTCAATTCCAGTTAACATACAATGTTATGGGGTGCCTGGGTGGCTCAGTGGGTTAAAGCCTCTGCCTTCGGCTCAGGTCATGATACCAGAATCCTGGGATCAAGCCCCACATCAGGCTCTCTGCTCCGCAGGGAGCCTGCTTCCTTCCCTCTCTCTGCCTGCCTCCCTGCCTACTTGTGATCTCTGTCAAGTAAATAAATAAAATCTTTAAAAAAAAAATACAATGTTATATTAGTTTCGGGTGTACAATATAGTGATTCAACAATTCTATACAACACCCTGGGCTCATCACGACAAGTGCCCTCCTGAATCCCCATCACCTATTTCACCCAGTCCCCCCACCCACCTCCCCTCTGGTAACCACAAGTTTGTTCTCAATATAATGTTATTTCAGTTATACCTCATAAAAATCATAACCTGTATTTCATACTGAAGGTAAAATGAGTTAATATTACACATGCTTACAGCAGAATCTGACATATAATTAATGCCATGTAAATGTGGGCTATTTTCATTGTTACTGTTACATAATCCCAGTGGCCTGGTCGGTTGCGAACCATTTTTTTGGGACAGACCGTTTGCCCGTAGTAAATCCAGCGATCTTTCTTCACCTTGTTTTATGGCACTTCACTGCTCCTTGTCTCAGTACGACCCAGATCTCAAACACTGGATAAGAGAAGATGTGATTTCGGGTCTGTATACACAGAGAAACATTTCTGCCCAAATCTTCAAACTGAAGTGATAACAGGTTAATTGAATGGAGTTTTATTTAGAAGAGTTGTACTTGGCAGCTCCTCAATAGACGTGAGTTGGTATAGTCTGACTTTTTTCCCACTTAATAATTATCTTTTCTCTTTTCTCAGAGAGAATGTTATGGGTGGATCACCACATGTTCTCACCTCCTTTCTGGGATCAAAGGCAAAAAAGTAATGTTACTGACAAGGGAAGAAAAAGAACATCTATTTGGAGAAGAGGTATTCGCCATGTGTTGGCACTGATCATTATTCAGGTTCTTCCTATATTTGTTGCCCCCCCTGAGTTTCAGTAGATAAGGATTCAGTGACTTCTTCCAATCAGTGTTCTAAGTCCTCATTTATTTACTCTGCCAGAAGAGAATTTTGCCCCTGACCAAAAGCATTGGCAGTTCTCCCTTCTAAGGGAGAGAATCATCTACCTAAGCTTCTCTCCTCGATTTCTTAGAGCACGATTTTGTTTCATCCTTCATGAAGGGAAGGATGGCCTTCCCAGGGGCAGCTGCCTGCCGTTTCCTGAGGCATGCCTTCAGACTGGTTGGCTGCGCACACTTCCTCCTCTCCTCCAGGCTCCGTCTTCCTATTTAAGGTTATTTCTTCCTTTGAGCACCTAATCCCAGCCCACTGTCCTCTCTCTTTTGTATCTTTTTAACATCTTCCTCTCTAGTAGTTCCATTGTATATGTATAAATAATCCAATATATAAACAATAAGCATGGCCATTGCCTTCATTCTAAAAGATAGATTCCTTGAGCATGTCTTTTTTTCCTACTACTTAATTCTCTCCTTCCTATCAGAATCATTTCTCTTAAAACTCTGAAACTATCGCAAGGTGCTGTAATGACTCCTTATTGTCAGATCCAACGAACCCCGATGCCGTATTTAGCTTATTGTCAGATCCAACGAACCCCAATGCCGTATTTAGCTTGACTTTTCTATATTTAGCATTTGACCCTGTTGACTAGTCATTCACTTCTTTTGTAATCTCTCCTCACAAGACAAAAAATTTTTTCTCCTACTTTTTTATTTCTTTTCACTCTCCTTTTGGTCTTCCTCCAATTGCCTGCCTCTTAAATGTTGACATTCTGTCTTTCACTTGCTTTCACTTTTCTTTCTACACCCCACACCTGACTGTGCTAATGCTGTGGTATTAACTACCACCTGTTTACTGAGGATTCGAAATTAATGAATATCCTGTACTTCGAGGCAGTCACAAATGCTTAGCTTTACTTCAGTGTGTTTGAAGGAGTTGGTTTCCAGTCAAGACTGCAGAAGCCCGCATTGCTATCAGAGCTGGGAACGGTAGAAGAGAGATGTGATGGCGTCTCTGTCAGAGCTCCAGGGTCTGCCAGGGAGGGTTCTACCTACACATGTGTGGGACTTTCATCTCACATTTGAACACTAAAGAAACACCACCTTTCTAAATTATACATCTTGGGCACCTGGGTGGCTCAGTGGGTTAAGCCTCTGCCTTCAGCTCAGGTCATGATCTCAGGGTCCTGGAATCGGGTCCCACATTGGGCTCTCTGCTCCGCAGGGAGCCTGCTTCTTCCTTTCTTTCTTTGGGCCTGCATCTCTCCCTCCTTGTGATCTCTCTCTGTCAAATAAATAAACTCTTTAAAAAAATAAATAAAATATACATCTTTTACAAATGCTTACTTTTCCATTTGCTGCCCAGGTCTTGGCCAGAATTATTTTGAATTAATCACTGAATGATTTCATCAACATTATAAATCTTAAATTATATGGGGCGCCTCGGTCGCATAGTTGGTTAAATGTCCGACTCTTGATTTCAGCTCAAGTCATGATCTCAGGGTTGTGAGATGGACATGTGAGGGTTGTTGGGCTCCATGCTGGGCAAGGAGCCTGGTTAAGAGTCTCTCTTCCTGGGGCACCTGGGTGGCTCAGTTGGTTGGGCCACTGCCTTTGGCTCAGGTCATGATCCCAGAGTCCCGGGATGGAGTCTTGCATTGGGCTCCCAGCTCTGTCAGGAATCTGCTTCTCCCTCTGACCTTCTCCCCTCTCATGCTCTCTCCCTCTCTCTCTCAAATAAATAAATAAAATCTCCAAAAAAAAAAAAAAATTCTCTCTCCCTCTCTGTTTGGCCCTCCCTGCTCCCATGAACTCTTTCTCTCAAAATAACAAACAAACAAAACTTAAATTACAGTATAGTTTTAGAAAATTAAGTTTCACAGACATGATCTTGGCTACACAACAGGTCTATGAAAAAATTAAATTCAAGAACTATACAGAATCATAGAGACTTAAGAACAGGGAGGATTTTTTTTAAAGGTTTTATTTATTTAATTGACAGAGATCACGAGTAGGCAGAGAGGCAGGCAGAGAGAGAGAGAGAGGAGGAAGCAGGCTCCCTGCCAAGCAGAAAGCCTGATGTGGTACTCGATCCCAGGACCCTGAGATCATGACCTGAGCTGAAGGCAGAGGCTTAACCCACTGAGCCACCCAGGCACCCAACAGGAAGGATTTTTAAGGGTCATTGAATTCAGCCCAACAACTGATGCATGAATCTTTATATAATACCCAACTTGATCATTATGTCTATGTTTGAATATCTGAAGTGGCAGAGACCTACTTTTAGAATTAGCCCACTTGTTTTGGTGACAACTGACCATTAGAATGTTATTCTTCCTATTGAAATGGATGAATATGTTTCCTTGTAACTTTTTCTACTCACTGGTCCTCATTTAGTCTTTTGGGTTGACATGAACAAGGCTGATTTGTTTTCCACGTTATAGTATTTACAACATTCCACGTTATGGTGTTTTCCAACATTTGAAAATAGCTATATTCAACCTAATTCTATTTTTGAAATTTCTGTTATTTTCGATTAATCTATCTCTTCCTGGGTCATCACCACAATATTTTAATTTTTGAGGCGCCATGATGCATTTTCATATCTGATTGGGCCGGCCCTACTCACTGATCTTCTTTAGGGGTTCATCACTATGCTTGCTTATTTATTCTTCTGTGTAACTCTATAATCTATGTCTGGGAAAATATGAATTTTAAAGACTGGGGTAATACTAAATTTATATATTAACTTAGAGCAGAGATAATTATGCTGTCAAGTTGTCCTATTCAAAAATATAGGATGTCTATTTTTAACACCTTTCAATGATGTTTTATGATTTACTCATTTTATATATTTCTTGTAAGGTTTATGCCTGAGTATTTCATTTTATGTTTTACTATTTTATTTTTTAAAAGTTTTTATTTATTTAAGTAGTCTCTACACTCAACATGGGGCTCAAATTCACAACCCTGAGACCAAGCCAGACACCCCTATTTTTTGCTATTTTAAATGGGATCTTCACATTTTATCTTCTTTCTGGTAACTGTGTATATGTTATTGATTTCTGTATTTTAATTTTTTGGGGGGACTTTACTAAATTACCTTATTGTTTTTAGTAGGTTTTGGTAGAACAGATTCTTTAGGGTTCTCCAAATATTTAATCAAATCATCTACAAATAGAGATAATTATAACCTCTTTCCATGATTATGCCTCTAGTTGTTTTTTCTTGTCTAATTGCAATGAATAATTCTCCCAGTCTGGTGTTAAATAGTAGTGACAATAGCGAGCATCCTCAAGAGGGAATGCCTTTAGTGATTGGAGTTGATTTTTTGTTTAATTTCTTTATTGTTCTTTGGGTATCTCAGATCTTCCACCCAAGGTCACTTTCCTTCTGCTTTAACCTTTAAATTTTTCTTTAGTGGGACGCCTGGGTGGCTCAGTCATTAAGCGTCTGCCTTCAGCTCAGGTCATGATCCCAGAGTCCTGGGATCGAGCCCCGCATCGGGCTCCCTGCTTGGCAGGGAGCCTACTTCTCCATCTCTCACTCCCCCTGCTTGTGTTCCCTCTCTTGCTGTGTCTCTCTCTGTCAAATAAATAAATTAAATTTAAAAAATATATATATAAATTTTTCTTTAGTGATGATTTACTGAGGCAAACTTAATTTTTGTTTGTCTGAAAATGTCTTTATTTCACCCTCAGTCTTAACATTTTTTGCAGGGTATATAATTCTAGGATGATACCATTTCCTCCCAGCTCGTTGATGATGCTGTTTCTACTGTTTTCTGGATCTTGTTGTTACCAAAATGACAGTGGAGAATTCAGCTGTCAGTTCCTTTGAAGTTCTCTTTGGCTACTTTTAAGATTTTCATGTCTGGCATTTTGCAGTTTCACTCTGGTACATGTGGGTGTGGAATCCTTTTCGTTTTGCTGGGGATTCTCTTGGTTTCCTAAATCTTTGACTTGTTATCTTTCATTAGATATAGAAAATTCTATTATCTCTTCAAATATTGTCTCTACTATATTTGCTCTCTTCTTTCTGGAACTCTGAATGGATGTGTATTGGAATCTATCCCCATGTCTTTTAACCTTATTTCATATTTTTCTTTGCTTCTGCATTGAACCCTGAATAATTTCTTCTGGCTTACCTTCCCATTCACTAATCTTCTATTAAACCTTTCTGTTCAGTTTTTAAGATTTAATTGTTAAAGTTCTACTTGGTTCTTTTTCAAGTCTGATCATTCTTGTAATCTTCATATTTTTAATCTCTTATTTCTTTAAACAGATTAAATATAACTTCATAGTCTATTTGATAATTCTAATATATGTTATATCTGTATAAAAATGTTAATTATAAAACTGGACAGCTATATGCAAAGGAATGAAACTGGACCACTATCTTACACCACACAAATATAGGTTCAAAATAGATTAAGGACCTAAATGTGAGACCCGAAACCATAAAACTCCCAGCAGAGAGCATGTGCAATAATTTCTCCAACATCTTCCGTAGCAACATTTTCAAGCTTTCAAGCTTTTAAGGCAACATTTTCAAACTTTCAAGCTTTTAAGGCAAAATAACTTTGGGACTACATCAAAATAAAATGCTTCTGCATAACAAAGGGAACAACCAACAAAACTAAAAGAGAACTACGGAATGGGAGAAGATATTTGCAAATGATATATCTGATGAAGGGTTAGTATTCAAATTATATAAAAAACTGTAACTCAATGCCAAAAAACCCCAAATAATCCAATTTAGAAATGAGCAGAAGATGTGAACAGACATTTCTCCAAAGAAGATATCTCGATGGCCAACAGACACAGGAAAAGATGCTCAATATCACTCATCATCAGGGAAATGCAAATCAAAATCACAACAAGATATCACTTCACACTTGTCAGAATGAAGAAAATAAAAAAACACAAGGAACAAGAAGTGTTGGCAAGGACCAGGAGAAAAAGGAACCCTGTGTACTGCTGGTAGGAATGCAACCTGGTGCAGCCACTGAGGAAAACAGTATGGAGGTTGCTCAAAAAATTAAAAACAAGACTATTAGGTGATCAAGTAATTCCACTACTGGGTGTTTAACAAAAGAATGTGAAAATACTAACTTGAAAAGATATATGCACCCTGATGTTTATTGCTTCATTATTTATAATAGCCAAACTGTGGAAGCAGCCCAAGTGTCCATTGGTAGATGAATGGATAAAGATGATATGGGGAAAAAAAAAAAAAAAAAAGATATGGTGCGCGCATGCGCGCACACACACGCACACACACACACACACACACACACACACACACACACAGTGGAATATTACTCAGCCATAAAAAAGAATGAAATCTTGCTATCTGTAACAACATGGGTGGAGCTAGAGAGTATAGTGTTAAGTAAAATAAGCGAATCAGAGAAAGACAAATACCACATGATTTCACTCATATGTGGAATTTAAGAAATAAATGAACAAAGGAAAAAAGAGATTAAAAAACAGACTGTTAACTATAGAGAACAAACTGATAGTTGCTAGATGGGAGGGGGTGGGTGGGAATGGGTGAAATAGATAAGGGGATTAAGAGTAATCCCTTTATAGCCCCACTTATCACAACTACACACACGAGTAGTGTGTAGAATTGTTGAATCAATATATTGTAATATAACACTATGTTAATTATATTGGAGTTAAATAAATAAAGAAGAATGCTAGTTACAGCATTACTTATAAGAGCAAAATACAGACCTTCCTTGACTTATGTTGGGGTTATGTCTCAATAAACCCATTGTAAGTTGGAAATATTGTAAGTCAAAATGTATTTAATACACTTAACCTATCCACCATCATAGCTTAACCTAGCCTACCTTCATTGTGCTTTGAATACTTACATTAATTAATAGTTGGGCAAAATCATCTAACCACAGCCCATTTTATAATAAAATGTTGAATATCTCATGTAATTATTTTTTTGTTTGTTTTAGGAAGTTATCTTTTTGAAGGGGGGGCAGAGGGAGAGAATCTTTCAGACTCACTGCCGAGTGTGGAGCCTGACCCCAAGACTCCTGAGATCATGACCAAAGCCAAAACCAAGAGTCCATCCTCAATGAACTGAGCCATGCAAGCGCCTCTGAATATCTCATATAATTTATTGAATACTGTATTGAAAGTGAAAAACAGAATGGTTCTAAGTATAACAGTTGCTTATTCTTATGATCATGAGGCTGACTAGAAGCTGTGGGTCACTGCCACTGCCCAGAATCATGAAAGAGAGTTGAACCACATAGTATTAGCCTGGAAAAAGATTAAAAATAAAAATGCAAAGTACAGTTTCTACTGAATGTATTTCTTTTTCATGTTATAAAAACTTTAAGTTAAACCATCATAAGTCAGGGACATCTGCACTGGAAACAATATAAATGTTCATCAGTAGGGGATTGGTTTGAAAAAAGCAGATTATGGAATGCAATAAATGTGATTATCTCATTTACATTAAAATGTTTAGATGTATATAAGGCAGTCTAGAAGAATGTAGTCAGCAAACTGATAGCAGTTGTTACCTCTGAAAGTTGAGATTTTTGTTTGTTTGTTTTAAAAATATATTTTTTATAAGTCAAACAGAGAGAGTCAATTATCATATGGTTTCACGTACTTGTGGAGCATAAGGAATAACAGGGAGGACAAGGGGAGAAGGAGAGGAGAAGTGAGTTGGGGAAATCAGATGGGGAGATAAACCATGAGAGACTGTGAACTCTGAGAAACAAACAGGGTTTTGGAAGGGAGGGGGTGGGGGGTTGGGTGAGCCTGGTGGTGGGTATTAAGAAGGGCACGTATTGCATGGAGCACTGGGTGTGGTGCATAAATAATGAATTTTGGAACACTGCAAAAAATAAAATAAATGTATTTTTTAAAAGTTAACATGTGGGGGCGCCTGGGTGGCTCAGTGGGTTAAGCCTCTGCCTTCGGCTCAGGTCATGATCCTCTCTCTCTACCTGCCTCTCTGCCTACTTGTGATCCCTCTCTGTCAAATAAATAAATAAAATAATTTAAAAAAAAGTTAACATGTGTATAAAGGAAACTGAAAAACACAAGAAGCAAAGAACAAAGTCATCCATAATCACAAGCAGTTTACAGGTTGACTTCTATGTTCTTAATTTCTCTGTATTGTCTCTTTTACAGCATTATCAGGGAAAAAAATTTATTTGGTAAAAACATCCTAACATATTTTGAATATTTTTCTATACCATGTGCATATTTCTGCAGCATAATTTAAAATTGCTATAAAATATCTTATATAGGGCGCCTGGGTGGCTCAGTGGGTTGGGCCGCTGCCTTCGGCTCGGGTCATGATCTCAGGGTCCTGGGATTGAGCCCCGCATCGGGCTTTCTGCTCGGCAGGGAGCCTGCTTCCCCCTCTCTCTCTGTGCCTACCTCTTTGCCTCCTTGTGATCTCTGTCTGTCAAATAAATAAAATCTTTAAAAAAATACCTTATATAGTTTATGTCATTTATTTATGCATATTCCTATTACAGGCATTGAACTTCTTTTTAGCTTCTGTTTTATACACATCATTGCAATAAACTGAAGGACATTTGTTAGTCAGTATTTGTGTAGACTCATTTGAGGTATTCAACACTGTTGACTCCTTTCTCTTCTTTTGACTTTTCTGGTGGTTCTGTCAGACTTCTGACACAACTTCTGGTCTTTTTTGTGGGCTTGTCCTTCTTCCCTCGTCCTTTATGTGACTAGGTTCCTTTCCTAAGCCCTCATCCTCTAGCAACTTCACAACCTCACCTTTGGTGATACAATTCACTTTCTTGGCTTCAACTAAATGCAGATAACTGTTAAATGATTATCTTTAACCCAAATGCCTCCATCTATACTCTAGATCTTACTGAGTATTTCCACTTGGGTAAGTTTGGATACCTTAAAGTCACATGGCCTAGTCTGAACTCACCTATCTTCCTAAACCTGCTTATGCAACTTTGTTCATTATCTCTGTGAATGGCATTATCATCTGTGTAGTGGCCTGAACCATTTACCAGGTATCATTCGAGATGCTTCCTTTCCCTAGCCATCCCATATCATCTAAACTCTCCAGCACTAAGAGTTAACTCATAAACATCTCTTGAATCCTTATCCTCCTCTTCATTCCTGCAACCCTGTGCTGTTCATTCTCTGCTCTTATTTTTTCTTCCCATTCTTTCTCCCTCTCTCCCTTCTTTCTCTTTAAATCTGCTTTCCTGCTGCTAGAGTGGTTGCTTTAAAATGCAGAACAGATAAGTCAATTTTTTTTCCAGATAAGTCGATTTATCAGTACCTCATTGCCTTCAGGATAAAATCCAGTTTCCCTGAAATGACACTCTAGGCCTTCCTCTATGACTGTGCTCCTGTCCATCTGCCCCAAAGTTTCTGTTACATTAACTACTTTTGTTCTCAAGAGCTAGTCATGCCCATTCAACATCCTTTGCCTAGAACCATGCTATCTTTTTCCCCTTACTCATCCGTTAAAAATAAACTCAGACATTACATCCTCCAGGAAACCTTCCTGACCAATCCACTCTCTTATTTTTAACTTTTTTTTATTTTTAAAGATTTTACTTATTTACCTGAAAGAGAGAGAGCATGAGAGGGGAGAGTCAGAGGGAGAAGCAGACTCCCTGCTAAGCAAGGAGCCTGATGCAGAACTCGATCCCAGGACTCCAGGATTACGACCCGAGCTGAAGGCAGTCGCCCAACCAACTGAGCCACCCAGGTGCCACTGACCAATCCACTCTTTCAGCCACATCCACTACCATAGATTATGTGCTCCTACCATGTGACTATATGTATCCATAGCATTTTCTTGTCCACTAAATTGTTAAGCTTTTTAAGGGCAGGGGCTATTCTCTTTTTTTTTTTAATTTAAATTCAATTAATTAACTTACAATGTATTATTTGTTTCAGGGGTGCAGGTCTGTGATTCATCAATCTTATATATTAGCCAGTGCTCATTACAAGACATACCCTCCCCAATGTCCATCACCTAGTTACCCCATCCTGCCACCTCCCTCCCCTCCAGCAACCCTCTGTTTGTTTCCTATGTTTAAGAGTTTCTTATGGGGGGTGCCTGGGTGGCTCAGTGGGTTAAAGCCTCTGACTTTGGCTCAGGTCATGATCTCAGGGGGGCTGAGAGCCCCACATCGGGCTCTCTGCTCAGCGGGGAGCCTGCTTCCCTTCCTCTCTCTCTGCCTGCCTCTCTGCCTACTTGTGATCTCTGTTTGTCAAATAAATACATAAAATCTTTAAAAAAAAAGTTTGTTATGGTTTGTTTCCCTCTCCGGTTTCATCTTTTTCATTTTTTCCTCTCTTCTCCTATGATCCTCTGCCTTGTTTCATGAATTCCACGTATCAGTGAGATCATATGATAATTGTCTTTCTCTGATTGACTTATTTCACTTTGCATAATATCCTGTAGTTCCATCCACTTCATTGCAAATGGCAAGATTTCGTTTTTTCGATGGCTGCATAATATTCCATTATATATGTATACCACATCTTCTTTATCCATTCATCTGTTGACAAACATCTAGGCTCTTCCCATAGTTTGGCTTTTGTGGACATTGCTGCTATAAACACTGGGGTGCAGGCGCCCCTTCAGATCACTATATTCGTATCTTTTGGGTAAATACCCAGTAGAGCAGTTGCTGGGTTGTAGGAGGATGGGGGGTATTCTTATTACCCTTTTTGTCCTTATCCCTAGCACAGTGTCCAGTTGCAAGATTAGTGCTCATTAAATACTTTTGAATGAATAATCAGTATATACTACAAGTTATTAATATACACTAAACTATAATCGTACTATTGTTTCATCTCACAGGATTTTTTAAAAGAATTAATTGAACCTGAAATAGACAGCCTTTTTACTTTTAGAGAAGAGGAAGAAGAAAGCACGGAGGATAATTTTCAGATGCAAAAGGAAGAAGAGGTAAGATGATTTAGTATTATATTTCCCTTTCCCTTTATATTTTTAAAGAATATAAGTATAAGTACTGAGGTACCTGGATGGCTCAGTTGGCTAAGCATCCGACCCTTAATGTCAGCTCAGGTCATGGTCTCAGAGTCATGAGATCAAGGCTCATGTCAGGCTCCATGCTCAGTGCAGTCTGCTTGAGATTCTCTCTCTCTCCTTCTCCCTCTGACCCTCCCCTTGCTCACACTCTCTAAATACATACATACATACATACATACATACGATCTTAAAAAAAAAAAAGAATATATATAGGTACTATTGAAGATAGAAATAGGTCATCTGGAATAAACACTTCAGCTCCATTCCTTTCTTCATAGAGATTTAACCATATCAGAGACACCCTTATCTCTTTACTTTCCAAGGTAGGGGTATCCTTTTCCTTTTCAAAAATTGGTCACTTCCCATCAGCCTCACCCACACCTGTACTCCCATTACCTACACAATCCACCTCTCACCCTGATGCTGTTTCTTTGTCCTTTCATTACCAGATTTTTCAAATAGTAATTTAAACTCTATGTTTCCACTTTTTCTTCTTCTTTTGTTTTTTTAACTAATGCGGCTTGAACTCATGACTCTGAAATGAAAACCTGAGCTGAGGTCAGGAGTCTGATGCTCAACCATCTCAGCCACCCAGGTGCCCCTGTATCCACTTCAGTTTCCATTCTGGGTATCTTTCCCCTTCCTCCCAGGCCCGTCTCCCCACCACCTTTCTCCTAACCCTGTCTCTACACCTGCTGGGGAATTTGTAGTAATAAAACCCTTCCTGGGGCATTTATAATGATAATGATGATGACGATAATGATGATGATAAAAATGCAATGATAACTACAAATAATTGAGTACCTATCTTGAGCTATATGTTCTGCATGTGCTACTTCTTATCTATACGACACAACTTCAAGGTAAAAATTACTGCCCCATTTTATAAATAAGAAGCTCAGAAAGGTTGACTCTGACTTACCCTAAGTCAGAAAGCTGTAAGTGGTGGAACCAGTGTTCAAATCCAGATTGGTCTGGCGTAAGAGCCCTTGCTGATTCCTGGGTTGACTACTACCGTCCTTGGCTCTCAGAACTCAAGATCACCGAACACTCTCTAGACTGTCTTCACTTACTTCCTTGATGTTTCTTCTCTCTGAATAGTTTAAATGTTGGCATGATCCCAGGCTGTGACTAGGTCCTCTAGACCCATGATACATGCTACACAGCAGAAGAAAAATTTTATACAATACCTAAGCCTCTTTTGGCCAGCATTTTCTGTTTATTTCTGGTACAGTGCTTAGGATATAGAAGGCACAAAATAAATGGAAAGCAGTGTTAATTGGGCATTAAATTCTGTCATACCCTTTAAATGTGTAATACATGTCTTTTTTTCTTCCTCTTGTGGCCTTAGTTCTGGCCCTTTCCTTTCTCTGTTACAAAGTCTTTTTTTTTCTTTTTAATAAGATTTTATTTATTTATTTTTTTTACAAGGAGAGAGACAGCTAGAGAGGGAAAACAAGCAAGGGAAGTGGAAGAGGGAAAACAGGCTTCCCACAGAGCAGGGACCCTGATGCAGGGCTCAATCCCAGGACCCTGGGATCATGACCTGAGCTGAAGGCAGACCCTTAACTGACTGAGCCACCCAGATGCCCCTATGTTACAAAGTCTTGTTTGGTCTCCAGATATCACTTTCTCTGTAAAAACTTCCCTGAGTGTCTAGGCAGAATTTAGGGCTCTTTTCTGGGTGCACAAAGCTTTTGGAGCACACCAATCGTGCATACCGTAATTATTTCCTGGTCCATCTCTCCTACTGTGCTGTGAATTCCTGGGGTCTGGAGGACATCCTCTTTGTTTCTTTCACCATTGTCTCCCCTGCTCTCCACTTCCCCATCCCCACTAATTTCTCGGTATTTGCTGTACACCTTCAAAAATGCTTGTTGAATGACTAATGCAAATGGAAGATTAAAGCTTCAGATATTGCTCTGGGGAACTTGCCATGCTACTGAGTCACACACCAGCTCGCTAACAGGCCCTTTGTGTTTCTGTGTCCTAGAAGCCTTCAACATCCAAGGAGGAGGAAAAACTCATTCGAGTAATTGAAAAAGATGAAAATATTCATTCCAAACCTCTATTTGAAGCAAATATATTATCTTCCTGGGTATGTATCTGAAACCCAAGTAGGAAATTCAAAACCAGAGAAAAAAGCTAAGAAATTTAACATTATGTAAGAATGATACGGATTTAACATAACTTTTAGCTCCAGGAGGGCCAGGAGCTCCTACATAATGCATTTTTCAGATTTTTTTCTTTCCAGCATCATCTCTGGAAAACTCTTGTTTTTTACCTTAACTTTATAAAAAACTTCTCATTCTCTTCTTTGAACCTCATTTTAAAATTAACATTCCATTGCCTTCCTTAATTTAACAATATCTTTGTCAAAATTTGACCTATTTTTTAAATGAATCCATTCAGCAGACTCTATTGAGAACTGTGATTAGCATATACCTCTGAGCAGAAGAATTATTGGGAAATTGGAAGACTTTAGAAACTCAGCAGGAAAACAGATTTAAAATTCTTCCACAGAAAGTTCTAGGACTGTGGTAGACTTAAGTCAGTTCTAGATTTCCGTTCTAGATTGATATGCCTCTCTGGAAAGGTTGTCATGCCTTGATCCCGTTAATCCCCTGAAATGGCACATAGCATTTTGCGTGTACGTTTCTACTGTGCCTGTCCTTGCTGGGGAGGCAGGTACCAGAAATCCATAGACTTAGTCAAATTTCTCAGCCTCAAAGTTAAGAACCACTTGACTGTCAGAGATCTGATCCACCTGGGTAGTCAGCGTGTGTGGAGAGGTGGCAGCCGGATGGAGGGTGGCAGCAGGCGACAGCGGGATGGCCGAGGCAGAGGTGTGGCCCAGAGGGGAGGTAGATTGCGGGGCTGTGTGTCCAGGGAGGCTGTTGGAAATAGGCTCCAACTCTTGTAGGAAGAGCTGGGCAAAACCACGTGGAGAGTCAGGGAGGCGCTGCAAACGCGTGAGAGCAGCGCCGAGAGGGGTTGCAATCACATTCTCCCCAAGTTCCATCTTTTCAACAAGTTTTCCGTATAGTATATTAATCTATCAGTCTTTAAGACTGGGTGAGGCAAGGATGTAAGAGAAAGCAGGGCAGTGAGCCCTGTAAGGAAAAGGGAGATAAAGGGTAGCACCGTTTAATCTGTTTAAGCACCCCCCCATCCCACCCAAGCCTTCCTGCCTCAGAGTTTCTCCCCTGCTGTGCCATCCAGGCTAGGAGTCAGGGTCAAACCTCCCCAGTGATCCTCAAGACAGGTAGGAAGCATAGTCGGGGCGGGGGTTTGGGGGGCGTGGTGCTTGTTTTTGATGGTGGGGGCTCCTTCTCCAGGACCTTTCCATCTGACATGGTGTGGTGCCACGTGATTAGCTCACCTGAGGCCGATGTGGCCCAGGAAGTCTATCTCCAGGCTTTGGAAGTTTGCTAATGTTGCTACTCTAGATCACTGAAGATCTTTGTTTTTTTTGCCAGATAGCCTCTGGTCCTAAGGACATAAATAAGCATTTCGCAGGGATACCAGACCTTTCAGGCAGCGGCAGTCTCTCCTGCTGCTCTAAGAACACAACTCCCAGGAGGCAGTACGTTTGATTAACACTAGGGAGGAAAAGGGAAAAAGAAGGGCTCGGGCAGCAGAAAGCCTGTGGTGTGCAGGTGTAACCTGTCATGTCGCTGGGAACTGAGCTGTGAAACTGGAGAGCTCCAAGAGATAGAGGGGTCCCAGGTGTCTAGCGAGAAATGGCTCCAGACCCCTGAGAAGCTACAGACCTGAGCATGGAGTTTTCAGTTAGTAACCCCTTCTGCAGGTGACTCTGGATGGGATTTTCTGGGCATTGAGATATGAGTGATAGCTCAGCAGGAGAGGTGGTAAGTCACCACCAGCTTGGGCAGACTAGGGGCTTGGCCTCATTCACACCATTACCTGATGCCTAGTGTTCACCATAATGGGGCTGGACCATCCAGTATGCAAAACGCTCCTCAATTAGCTGGGAGGTAGGGCTTTGTGAGAATTCCTGAGGATTGTACTCAAAGCAGACCCCATGTACAGGACTTGGCCTGCTGTGCCTGAAATGGTCATGCCCAATTTGGCACTGGGCCCGATTCACTGGTTTTCCCAGTAAGTTGCACCAACTTTGCCGCTGCCCCTCCTGGGAGAAGGCTGCTCTGCCTTCAGATGCAGCCCAGTTTAAGAACCTTGTCGCATAGCACCGCTTGGGACCCTCTCTGAGTCACATCATTCCAACACCGTTGCTGCAGGACAAGCAGCCAGAATTCTGTAACATCTCAGCTGGCTAGAGGAGCCAGGGGGTGACTAAATCCACCAGCTCTCCCAGAGGCAATACCAAAAGTGCTCAGAGCGACCCTGGCCCCCAGGTGCTGTGGCTTGACCACAGGAGTAGCATTGCCTACAGCTCAGCGACCCCAACAAGCAAGGTGTCAGGAACAGTCTCTCTCGGGCTCTTCTTCACACCATAGATTCCTGCTGTCTGTAAGTGTTCAGTATTTGAGGGAGATGGGAGAGTTTGCTGGATCACCTGTGAACTGGGGAAGGATGAACAGGGGCCAGACTTGGGGGCATCAGCAGTATTTTTAACATAAGATTAAACTTTCTGTCTTTCCCTCTGTTATTGGGCTGAAGGTGGCCCTAAGACGCCTGTGTTTCCCTCTCACCTACCAGAGTACGCCAGAGCAGCAACTAATTTACCTATTTTATAACAGCAACAGGGAAAGGCCGTTGGAGTTGGTCCAAAGCTGATGAGGTGCTTTGTCACTGCTTAGATCCCAAGGAGCTGGGCCTAGAGCCAGATCTTCCCTGAGATAGACCCAAACTAGAGATACTGTCCAGTCAGAAGCCCATAAGTAGAGTCAAACCTGAGGAAGACCAAGTCAAAAATGCCAAAGACAGAATGGGAGTCAGAGACCATGTGCAAAGCTACAGCAGATTGGCACAAACAAGGGGGGGCTGAGGCAGTTACTGCCAAGAGCCATGAGGCCAGTGTTAACGATCACCAGCCCACGGTTGACCCGAAGCCTTACAGAGAACATAAACAGTGAATGAACACACATTCTGTATGTTCTATGTGTTATTTACTGTATTCTTACAGTGAAGTAAGCTAGAGGAAAGGAAATGTTATTAAGGAAATCATAAGGAAGAGAAAATACATTATAGTAGCAGACTGTAAAAAATCCAGGTACAAGCGGGCCCACATAGTCCAGACCCACGCAGCTCCAGGGCACACTGCTTATGTCTTGAGTGACCGTGGAGTCTGAAAGATCACATGTACAGAGTACAGTCCTGCTTTACTCTGGTTCCTACCGATCAAGTTGTTTCATACAGTTAGAAACCATGCATGGAATTCCAGTTCTAGAAGCCTCTGCTCTGAAAACCATTCTTCTGGGCTCAAAGAACAACTAAGTTAGTGGCATGTGTGGGTCCAGGCTGGACAGTGATCACCATTTACCTCCCAAACGAGCTACCCAAGAAAATGGAGCAAAACAGAAAGAGGAGAATAGGTGACTGGGAAAATAAGAGAGTAGAAGAGTGAGAGTAAAAGTGAACATGTTTAACATTTCTTTTCTCTGGTTTTCTTTTAGAAAAAGCTAGCAGGGTGCAGGGTTCTCCTGCAGGAGAACTAGGGTTCTCCACCCTAGTGGTGGAGAACGAAGAGGCCTCAATGAGGGGTTTGCTTTACCCCACTAGATCCTTCTGTGAGGATGGCAGGCTGCCTACCCTCTTCCATCTCCCTTTGCATCTGTAATGTGGGGCTTACCTTTTACGTGACTCAGGCTGGGAAGCATGGATAAATGAGATTTTAAACACAGTTCTGGGCAAAAAGGGCTGAAGGGGACTCGGAGTTTCAGGCTTCCAGTGATGGAATGAATAAGTCATTGGGACTCGCAGTTCATTCATACTACACATTTCCTTTGTCAGAGAGAATCAGCGAAGCAAGGCACATTGGCCCCAAAGTATCTTGAAGCAATGGCTATCATTGAACGCACACAGGAGAAGTTATTGTGAGTATGAGGCACCACAATGGTAATTACAAACAGGCCAGGAGGTGTTGCTGAGGAATCCACACCTCTCGATTTACCTTTGTTTCTTCTGCTTCTTTTATCCTTACTGCTTGAGGCAATGAATTCTACTGCTGTCGTAGGACACCATCCTCACCCACAGTGGAGGTGGAGGAAGTGGAATGTGTGTATGTGGGGAATAGGGTGTTAGGAGTGAGCCATCCAGTCTGTTTCTAAGAGATGAGCTAGTGATGGGAATGAAACTGGGAGACACTACTCTGCAAGAAAGAATGCTACATACTCCGAGAATAGGAAGGGCGGTATAGTTATGATGGTCAAGAATGCCAAGAGAAGAGCATAGCCGTGTAGACATAGACCATGTGCTCCAGGAAGTAAGAAGTGCATTTCAAACTAGTTTTCTTGACTGTAAAATCTGGTTTTAGAGGTGCTGGCAAAGAAGGGAAACTACTGGATTTAGTTTGTTGGATCACATCAATGAAGAGAAGCCAAAATTAGCTCCTGGAAAAGGGGTTCCTTGGCTATTGATGGATCCAAATACCCACAAGTCAGGTTTCACTAAGAGCTGATAAATACATTGCGTTCTTAAATCACAGCATGATTGCCATGCTGACATTACCACCCAGTTCTTGCTTAAGGATTGATGCTGCTGCCTCCCTTATGTGTACCTTTCAGATGCAGTTAGCTAATTCTATGCCTCTTCTCAACAATGAGTTTCTGTATGTGAAAGATACTTTTTCAAACCTTTCCATTTTGTTGTGTTTCTCTGGACTCTGTCCCCATCAGAGAGGTTGAAAGCAGAGCCAGACAAGCAGAGGAGAAGTTTGATGATGTAAATGAGAAACTTCATTACGCCCTTATAAGAAATAAAGACCTGGAGAGAGAATTAGAGACTATTTTGACGAGTTCTAGACAGAAGGAGTTTGAAGGAAGAGAAGAAGAAAATGAAGGAGAAAGAGAAGATGGAGAAGATGAAGAAGAAGATGACGATGATGATGAAGAAATCAAGCCAGTAGAACATTCGCCAAAATCTCTAAAGAGAGGTGAGGCTCGCTTTCTCATTTTGCTTCATTTAGGTTATATTCATGAAACAAAACATATTTGGGTCACAAATATCTTAGAAGAATATTAATATCCTTAGTACTGATTTATTGGTTCATAATTTTCATAGGATACACATACATTATCCTATCATGAGTACACATAAACTATCTTATTCAAACAACTCACAAAAAGAAAACAAAATGACTGACAATTGTAGACTAGGAAACTAACGTAAGATACAAGTTTAGCCTCTAAAACTAGCAAAGATTTTTATTTTATTTTATTTTATTTTAAAAAATATTTTATGTATTTATTTGACAGAGATCACAAGTAGGCAGAGAGGCAGGCAGAGAGAGAGGAGGTAGCAGGCTCCCCACAGAGCAGAGAGCCTGATGTGGGGCTTGATCCCAGGACCCTGGGATCATGACCTGAGCTGAAGGCAGAGGCTTTAACCCACTGAGCCACCCAGGCGCCCCTAGCAAAGATTTTTAAAAACAAAAGAATGTTATGCTAGTCAGAAGGGGAAAACTGTTTTATAGGTAATACTTGTGGGTGGACAGAATATAACTTTTTCAGGTAATAATTTGAGCATATGTATAGATATCCTTAAATACATGCGTCTACTTTGACCTTTGACCTAATACTTTTACTCTTGATGATCTAGTCCAAGGAAATAATCCTAAATATAGAAGAAAAGATTAATGCACAAAAATGTTCGATGTATCATTGCATATAATAGAAGTGACCTACCTCTCCAATCATGGAAGAAAGGTTAAATAAATTATGTTATACAATATACTTGAATATTATACCACTATTAAAATGGTTTATAATGACATGGAAATTTTTTTAAAAGATTTTATTTATTTGAGAGAGAGAGAGAGCACAAGCAGGGTGATGGGCAAAGGGAGAAGCAGATGCCCCGCTGAACAGGGAGCCCAATGTGGGGCTTAATCCCAGAAAACCGGGATCATGACCTGAGCTGAAGGTAGATGATTCATCAACTGAGACACCCAGGTGCCCCAAGGAATTCTTTTTTTAAATTTATCTTAGGGAGAGAGAGAGACAGACAGAGAGAGAGAAATAAGAATGAGCAGAGGGGCAGAGGAGAGAGAAACCCAAGCAGACTCCACGCTGAACACAGAGCCTGATGCAGGGCTTGATCTAAGGACCCTGAGATCGCAACCTAAGCTGAAACCAAGAGTCAGATGCTTAAATGACTGTGCCACCTAGGTGCCCCAGAAATTCTTATTTGTAAATATCAAAATGCAAGAAAACATGCTTTTTTAAAGCTAGAGAAAAGACCAGAAGGAAATTGTATCCAAATATTGATAGACATTGTCTCTGGTTGATGGAGGTTTGTGGAGAATTTTGACTATGGTTTTTGGTACTTGTTTGATTTTCTATGAAAATAATCACCATTATTCTATGGGAAAACGAATTTAACTCTTTACTTTCTTATCTCTAATTAGTGCAATAACCTGCCTTTTTTCAGTTCTCAGTATCCCCAGGATTGGAGGCTGGTTTTTTTATATTTGCTCTCACCTTCACCCTTTAGTGTATTCCCAGGACAACTCCTGGTGGAAGGGATAGGACAGGGAGAATAGCGACTTCTGTTTCTCTGTCACCCCAGTCTTCACCTATGCCCCCAGCCAAAGCGGTCGCTAAGCCAGTGCCCCACAGCCTAAGTGCATTTTCTCGCCTTCTGTTACCTCTCAACTGGCAAGATGCTAATTGTTCCAAGCATGACAATCCTTTGAATTTATGTGTGATAGTTTTCATGGCTTAAAAAATTTTCATCTTACACGGTATAATTGTATCCTGATAATTTGAAAACTAGGCTTTTTCCAAATTACAGAAAAATAAATATGCAAACCATGCAAAAGTAACCATGTTAAACTGGAGAGGTTACCTCAGTACGGAATGAGTGATGTTATCTTTGTCCATTTCCATAAAGATCTTGGGGATGAGGTTAAATCCAGAATGGAAAGTATTAAAAATTTTAAGCAGAGGAAAACTATATGCATTAGTCCCCATCCTATAAACAATTACCTACACAAACATAGCTACCCTTCACCTTCCTTCCAAATATTCCTTCAGAGTCATTGTCGGGGGTGGGGGTGCTCAGAGGTGAAGGAGAGGCTCTGCAAACCTTAGGGGAATCGGCTCCTTGGTCAGGCCCTTCATGCAGGAGACCTGAACGTTTTCTCCAGAAAATCCAGAAGTTGGACATTCCTTAGAGGCAGACACCCCACCCCCACCCCGAGCAATGTGAGTCTCCTGTGGCACATGCAGCGTCATACGTGCGCGACTTCCAGCATGAGATCACATTTCCCTCGAGCGCTGTGCGGTGAAGAACGGACAGTTACATACGGTGAAGGAGAGAGGCTTGTACATGCTGGGCAAGGGGAAGATCTGGACGGAGCAGACATATTTGTTTTGTTTTTGTGTCAGTCTTTTTAATAATTAGCAAATCGTTGTGCTCTGGGCTGTGAATGAAGACAGGAATCCAGAGAGACGTTTAGGAAGATGAGTAGTGGCTTAGACTCTGATCTCGGTGAAGCCTGCAGTTAGGAGCTAGGAGCAGGGAGAGACACTAAGAGCAAGACAAGGGTGTGAACAAGATGACCGTATGTGGGATGGAGGTGGAGGCAGCCAGTCAGAAGGATTCCAAGTGAGAAGCTTGGTGTCATGGAGCAGCCGGGAGAGCTGGCTTATGGCGGGAGGCCTCCTGCCCCCGTCCCCGGGGCCGGGCCTGAGGTGGATCTGTGCACGGAGGACTGGAAAGAGGGACCAGGAGACAGAACAGGAATGCAGAATGGATGTGGGAGGATGTTGGATACTAGCTCTCTTCGAAATTTTTTTCCGCCAAGTTTGGGATATCTATAGAAGGAAGGCGGCAGTGTTCTTTCTGTTTCTCTATTCTCCTTGACCACATAGTCCTCTTTTCCAGGACCCAGAACTCAGGTAACTAACTAATTACACTTTCAATTTGGGAAAATGTGGGGTGCCTGGGTGGCTCAGCGGGTTAAAGCCTCTGCCTTCTGCTCAGGTCATGATCCCAGAATCCTGGGATTGAGCCCCGCATTCGGCTCTCTGCTCAGCCGGGAACCTGCTTCCTCTCTCTCTGCCTGCCTCTCTGCCTACTTGTGATTTCTGTCTGTCAAAAAAATAAAATAAAATCTTTTTTAAAAATTGGGAAAAATGCATTCTGAATCCCAGTAACCAACATAGAGGCAAATTTTGCACACACTGCCTGTTTGTAGCTCGGGAGTTACTCAGGCAGAATGGAATTTTAAAAACGCTTTTTAAAGTTAAAAGTCCTTAGTAGGGATGCCTGGGTGGCTCAGTTGGTTAAGCAGCTGCCTTCGGCTCAGGTCATGATCCCAGCGTCCTGGGATCGAGTCCCACATCGGGCTCCTTGCTTGGCAGGGAGCCTGCTTCTCCCTCTGCCTCTGCCTGCCATTCTATCTGCCTGTGCTCACTCTCTCTCCTTCTCTCTCTCTGATAAATAAATAAAATCTTAAGAAAAAAAAAAAGTCCTTAGTAAATATTAGATCTTGTTACTACAATACTCTGATTGTTTTTGTCTTTTCAGAGGTACAACGTAAGGAAGGTCCTCTCAACCCTAAACCCAGAGCTCGGACTAAATCCAAGACCAAGTCCAAGTAGCATCCTTCGGGCGCCGGGCTTCAGCAGGGCTCCCCTCACTGATCTCTGTGTGCTACTGAGCTGACTGTGGCTCAGCTGGAGGGACTCCCTGTGCAACAGCTACTAGAAAAGTCACGATGTACAACCCAAGAACATTTTCTCTTTGAAAGTCACAGTGAAGGCTGTAGGGAATAAGTGTGTTAGTTTATCTCCCAGATTAAAAATGGCTTGTTCAAAAATTTGCTGGCCTCTTCAAATGATTTCCTAACAGAGGTCTGTGAAAAGTGTCAGTTCCTGTCAAGAAAATAATATTTTTTGAAGACTCTGAACTCTGCAGAGAAGAGTGGCAAACACAAAGGATTATTTTTTACAGTTTAAAAGAGAGGAGCCTGATAATGTTCTTGGGTTTGGGCACCATTTTCAGATTTCTTGTGATTTCAGGCATTTTTATGATTTGATTTTCACAATAATCCTACAAAGAAGATGGGGGAGATGCTGTTATTATCCCCATTTCTCAGAAGATGAAACTGAGTCCCACCCCCTCCCCCGCAAGTGGTTATAAGATTCCCTAAGGTCACAGAACTGATGGCTTTCGGAGCCCACTGCTTACTGGACCTGTGTCTGGATGTTTGACAGTGGTGATGGGTCACCAGGCCACTGTTCAGATGGTTTCCTTCACAGGGTGAGGATGGAAGATTGTACTGAAATTTAAGAATGCTGTTGAAGATTCACCCAGAATCGCCATTTTTTGCTTTGATCGCCTCACTTGTCTGCTCTGTTTATGACCCCGGATCCATCGAGGCATTAGAGATGGACTAACTGGCAAAAATAAGTTACGAGTGACAAGTGGACGTTTGGGGCCGGCACTTGGCAAGGACTTCTTCTTTACTGCTCCCAGGGCACTTGGATTTCCTCTGATTTCTGGGTCCAAATACCTAGGCGCCTGCTTTGGCGCCACATATTTGGTGTTCTTTTGAATTCATCTCCTGGAATTTTAGACCCTTGCCTGTTGCCTAAGCCTCAGAAACCCCGTGACCCGGAGTCCCCAGCCATTTTCAGCCCAGTCCCGGGCCAGGCCTACCTTGGCCATCATCGAAGTATAGTGTAGGATGGGTTTAAAAAATGCATAGGTTCTGTCCACCTCAGCCCACCGGATGACTCTTGAAGTCTGAGGGAGGAAAACACGACTTCAGACAGTCGGCCGTGCTCGTGGCCCCACTGATAAGCGGGAGCTGACACTGAGCTCGTGCTTACAGTCCTTGCTTTCTGCTTTCCCAAAGAAATTCTTAGGTGATTCTAGAAAATTTGGAGGCTTTTTGGTCGGCTTTCTGAATACTTCTTTTTTTTTTTTTTTTTAAGACTTTATTTGTTTTATAGAGAGAGCGCATGAGCAGGGAGAGCAGTGGGCAGAGCAGGCAGAGGGAGAAGCAGGCTCCCCACGGAGCAAAGAGCCTGATTCACCAAACTAGAACACAGTGTGGGCAAAGCAAATGCCCAGAGAAGAAAATGAGGGTGGTGGTAAGAGGGCATCAGAGATGTTAGGTTTTTTAAAAAGCAGGGTGCTATAGGAAAGGCGTCTACACCGGCGCCCCTGAAAGTTCGCTCAGGCAGCTCTGCTTTCCCAAGCAGCTGATGGGTGGGAAGGTTGAGCTAGTCCTCCAGACCTTGCCACACCTTCTCCGAGGGACCCTGTGCTAGGCTCCCAGGCAGAGTGGAGGGAGGGGCACTTGGCGCATGTGGCTGGTGGCTGGGCTGCCAGGGGAGGCTGTCCTGCTTGTGCAAGGGGAGACCAGCCACTCTGCTCAGATGTCCAGACACAGGCGCACAGCTCAAAGAGCTGCACACCTTTAAAACAAATGCTTGAAATAGTGAGGTGGGATTCTAACACAAGAGACCCCTGTGCCAGTTCTTAACCTGGTTCTGTCCAAGAGCAAGCACTCTGGGGGCAGGAGCTGCTGGCCCTCAGGGCAACCATGAGCATGGGGGGCCCTGTGGAGGGGCCAGACTTCCATCCGGATCCAGCTGGATCACTGCCATTTAGAGCTACTAATTTTAACTAGAAAGACAGTAATGGTCATTTCCTGAGGATTTACTTCGTGTAAGCACTGTACGAAGCGCTTCGTATGTTCTCTCATTCAATCACAACTCTGTGTTGTGGGTTATACTTTTATCCCCATTGCTGCCAGGATAAGTAGCACGGTTACGGTCACACATCTCGTGAGTCTGGAGTGAGTGGCGTCCAGCAGCAGGGCCCAAGTTCGCGGTTACGGTGTTCTCTTGCCTCTCCCAGTCAGAAAAAGCTGGATGTGCAGTTGATGACCCCTCTTTTTAAAGGATCTGATTTCTGTGTCCTTTACTTTTTGCTCTGCTCAACCACTGAGTAACTGCATGGGCACACAAGCCAAAATTCTAGACACATCAGAACTTCACAGACCCAGCGGACTCTGCCAAAGAACACTGGAGCCACCAGGAAGAATCTAGTAAGGAGGATTGTACCTCCTCAGCCATCCTGACCTGGCCCTCAGAGAGCCCGGATGCAGACGCATAGGCTGGACCTCCCCGATTTAGGGGAGTCCAGACTGCAGGGCTCCAGCGCCACGCTGATTCTCCTGGGGAGCCAGGGTGGGCCTTGAAGTTTCTAACGAGGGCCTGCAAAGCCTCCTTCGAGCTGACCTCTTTCTGGTGAGCTGGAGTGCCAACGACCTGCAGGCCGCCAGCCATTCAGTCACGTGCCTGTGGGGCAAATGCAGGTCTGGACAGACCTAGGAGTCCCTGCCCATTGCCAAGTGCCCTGAAACACCACCGTCACAGAATCTGTCATAGACTCATGCCACTCTCACGGCCGTGTCGTTTTGGTCATGGTGGACTCCAGCTCCAAACTGAAACACCTTCTCTCCTTTTATCAGCTTACTCCCTCCCATACACTCCAACTCCAGTGTCACCCCAGAATTCCTGTGTTGAAATCCTAGCCTCCAAGGTGATGGTCTGAGGAAGTGGGGCCTTAAGCAGGTGATAGGTCATGAGAGTGAAGCCCTCATGAATGGGACAAGTGCCCTTTTACAAAAGACCACAGAGAGCTCCCCCACTTGTGCCATGTGGGGACACAGTGAGAAGACACCTCTCTCAGAACCAGGCCTTGGGCCAATACTAGATGCCAGATCTTTTGGCATCTTGGACATCCCAGCCCCAACTGAGGAATTTCTGTTTTTCGTGAGCCAACTTACGGCAGTCTGTTAGAGCAGCCTGAACTGACTAAGGCACCAGTGCTCTATTATAATTAAATTTCTAGAGAAAAACTTCCCTAGTACACATCTCAGTCTTGCATCATACTGTCCAACTTGTCCTCCACCTGCATTTCAAGGTCAGTAACCAGCCAGAAGGCAGCACCTGGGTGTCAAGAGGAGACTTCCGCTGCTGAGACCTTGCAGGCAGCACTGTCAGCTCACCTTGCTAGTCTCTGAAGAATGTCCCTTGACCATTCACAGCTTCATACGACTTATTTCCCATCCATCAAGCACTCCCATGCCAATGGTCACTTAATAGCTGAAGATATCACAGGCTGCTTGAGCAGACCTGGAAGGAGCCTTTTGGCAAGCTAATGAGGAATTTAAATGTTGACTGAGCCAGACAGCAGAGGAGACCAGCTAGTGGGTGATACCCAGACCTATAGATAAACCTACCTTTGACAAAAGGAGCCATGCTACAAGGAATTCTTAAGGGTCTTAAAAGCCATTATTATTACCTTATTACCCTGGCATTCACTCCTAATTATTCTGTTCCTGGCTCTGGCTATGCCCAAATCAGCATGACCTTACCTCCTCCTCCATTATTTATGACAACATCTGCCAACCTGAGATCAGGAGCCATCTCTATGGGGTAAAAAGTGGCCAACAACCCTCGATGCCATCTTAACTCCAATAACCAGTACATTGGGATGGGTGTGGGCCAACACAGTGGTCATGAGAAGTACTTCCCACTTCAGGGATGCTCTAACTGGTCCTTTAAATGGGCTGGGTCGTCAATGACTGTGCCCTGGCTGGTCCACAAAAGCAAACTGCAAACCCTAATCTGTTAGATATTGTAGGAAATTACCCAGGAATTTCTCCCATCTCTTATCCTATCTATTGCTCCCTCCTCAGTGCTTGCTTTCCTCTCTGTTACCGTATTTTTGGGCAGATTTTGGCACCTGTTTTTGGCTTACTTGGATCTGACACCCTTTTGGATTCTATATTTTGTATTTTGGCACTTCTGCATGGTTTAAAGCTTTGCCTGCCCCTTTGGCTTCACAATCTCCCATTGCCTCCAGCCAACACTAATCAGTCTATGCCTTTCAGTGCTGCTACTTCCCCACAAGCAACTATGGTACTTGGGAGTAGGGAGGGAAACTTCTTTTAAGAGGGTCTGGAAATATTGTTCAGAGCTGGCTGAAATAGCTTTTTGGAACAAAATTCAAAGTTATTATCTCAGTACATAGTAACCATAGAAACTGATTGTTAAAATAAATGAATCGGGCATGATTGTATGGATATGTAGGTTTTGAAATCATCCAACATAATCTTGGGAAAATGCGTTGCTTGCCAATGCCCTCGGGCTTGCAGGCATGGGCTAGAGAGTTTTCCCAGGTGTGGATGGAGGCTAGGGGGAAGCTTAGAGGTGTATGACAGAGACAATCCTAGGACGGCATCATTATATACTGATATTTTATATCAGGGAGCTAGGGAGCTTTTGGTCTTTTCTTGTTGGAAAACAGGAGGAATGGCAGGGCAGAAATGTGAAAGTGATCAAGAGAGAGAACAGGAAAGGCAAAGGATCCTTGATCTTGGGCCCTGATTTTTGTCTCTTAAACATAGTGGGGAACCAGCCTGTCCTCAATAGACATAATTTTATAAAAGTTTCTAGGTCCATTCCTGGGAGCTCAGAATACATTTTCTCTCTGAAATAATGCTCTATAGGATTTTATGAGTTAACATTCATAAACAAAAACTCTTTACAGGTGTGTTTATGTAAAATGTTCTAAGTTCTCACTTAGGGATAGCAAGCAGGAACACATCTTCAATATAAAATACTAATCTTGGATAACATGAAGAGTAAAAAGGTACAACCACCAGATAATTTCTCTCTGTCCTACCACCATTTCTCTCTGTCCTAGCTACATGGAAATTTTAATTATAAGTACCGTTTTACTAACATACAGGATTTTAGTAATATTTTTGGAATGTTAGTAAGATTTAATAAATTATTGATTTTTTTTTTAGATTTTATTTATTTATTTGACAGACAGAGATCACAAGTAGGCAGAGAGGCACGCAGAGAGAGAGGAAGAAGCAGGAAGCAGGCTCCCTGCTGAGGAGAGAGCCTGATGCGGGGCTCGATCCCAGGACCCTGAGACCATGACCTGAGCGGAAGGCAGAGGCTTCAACCTACTGAGCCACCCAGGCGCCCCTAAATTATTGATTTTTTAAAGTCTATAGAGGATTTGCTGTCTACCTCAGGATGCTTTCTCATTTACTTGGCTAATTTTTTTCTATAGAATCATACTTTTTACTTTTTAACTAACATATAATGTATTATTTGTTTCAGGGTATAGTTCTGTGAATCATCAATCTTACACAATTCACAGCACTCACCATAGCACATACCCTCCCCAGTGTCCATCACCCAGCCACCCCATCCCTCCCCACCCCACCCCTCAGCAACCCTCAGTTTGCTTCCTGAGATTAAGAGTCTCTTATGGTTTGTCTCCCTCCCCGGTCCCATCTTGTCTCATTTTTCCCTCCCTTCTCCCCCAGGGCCCCCTGTCCTGCCTCTCAAATTCCTCATATCAGAGAGATCATATGATAATTGTCTTTCTCTGATTGACTTATTTCACTTAGCATAATACCCTCTAGTTCCATCCACTTCATTGCAAATGGCAAGATTTCAGGGTTTGTTGATGGCTGCAATATATATTTATTATATATATATATATATATATATATATATATATATCACATCTTCTTTATCCATCCGTCGATGGACATCTAGGCTCTCTCCATAGTTTGGCTATGGTGGACATCGCTGTATAAACATTCGGGTGCACGTGCCCCTTCGGATCACTACATTTGTGTAGATACATATTTCTTTCTTTCTTTTTTTTTTTAAGATTTTATTTATTTATTTGACAGACAGAGATCATAAGTAGGCAGAGAGGCAGGCAGAGAGGGAGGAGGAAGCAGGCCCCCTGCGCAGCGAAGAGCCCAATGTGGGGCTTGATCCCAGGACCCTGGGATCATGACCTGAGCCGAAGGCAGAGGCTTAACCCACTGAGCCACCCAGGTGCCCCTAGATACATATTTCTAATTGAGTAAGACAACTTAGTGGAGAGTAAGACTTAAAGAGTAAGAATATATTTATATTAAAGAATATCTGTACTAGCAAAGAATGCTTCTGGACATACATAGGTCACATACTGTCAGTACTGCTTGAGAAATAAGCAAGCTGAGGGGCCCCTGGGTGGCTCAGTGGGTTGAGGCCTCTGCCTTCGGCTCAGGTCATGATCCCAGGGTCCTGGGATCAAGCCCCACATCGGGCTCTCTGCTCTGCGGAGAGCCTGCTTCCCCCCCTCTCTCTCTGTCTGCCTCTGCCTACTTGTGATCTCTGTCAAATAAATAAATAAAATCTTAAAAAAAAAAAAAAAAGCAAGCTGGTAAATAGTATACTGAGAATATGAGTCCCATGTTTACAGCGATGCTTCTTAAGATTTTAAGCAACACGTATCAGGTAAATGTTTTTGTCCTTTGATTTCTCTCTTTTAAGAATTTTTTTTAAGGTTTTTATTCATTTAACAGAGAGGGAGAGTACAGGCAGGGAGAGCAGCAGGCAGAGTGGGAGGGAGAAGCAAGCTCTCTGCTGAGCCAGGAGCCAGATGTGGGACTCGATCCCAGGACCCTGGGATCACAACCTGAGCTGAAAGCAGCCGCTTAACAAACTGAGCCACTCAGGCGTCCCTTATTTCTCTATGATAAAGTCTCCATAAAAAGAATTGCTTTAAAATTCTTTTAATTAGATGTAAATTTTATATCCATCCCAAGTACATCTTGTTTTCTTTCAGTCGCTCAGGAACATTTAAGTGTCATTGTGGTGCACCTATCGGGGTTGGATGTGAAGACCATAGGGTGAATATATAAGGTTGAGTGTGGCTGGGGGTGGGGGGGTGAGGGACAATGACCAAGAGGTGCCTTAGAGGAGTAAACCACAGTACAGCTGGCGAGAAGCCTGCGTCTTAACTACGGGTTTACAATAACGTGTGATGAGCACAATAAAAGGGACATGTAGAAAGGACCACGGGAGCACCACAGACCTTGCCAAAGGGGCCAGGGGGCATTCAGCAAAAAAAAAGACACTTGAACTACATCTTTGGAAGTCAGAATTTAGCCACCTATAGACACAAAATTCTTTTCCAAGTAGAATGTTGGCTAAAGCTCTTTCCCATAACCACTCTAATTAAAATGATCTATCTAAACTCGTCATCACATCACCTCACTGTCTCCTCACAGACAACTGCTTCGGATTGCTGGGCTGTGACTCTGCATTCCAAGGGCATTCCGTATGGCAACCGAAGAAAGCGTGGGAAGTGCGGGCCGTGTGCCTCCCTCAGGGATGTGGCTGTCACCTGGCAGGCCCCTTCCAGGCACCTTACCCTTGGCTCCTCCTATAGCATGGGAGAGTCTTTCTTTTTAGGATTTGGGGGCTCGACAGGTTTGGAAGGATTGGGGAAAGGGAGGCTTCCTTGAGTTCTACTGCCGGGCGAAGACAGGAAATTGAGCAAGTCAAATGGCAGAGGCAAAACCACGGTGGAAGGTTTGTCCGTGGACAGGGACTGGAGGGTGTGGAGGTACCGCAGCTGAACAGCGGCCGGAGTGCCTGCCAGGATCTCCGCTGCCCGTCTCAGGGACTCCGACGCGGCCCTCTCTCCTTCCGCAGCGATCACCTGAGGAGCAGATGCGAAGAGAAGCTGAGTGATCTTTTTCCTTTTCGTGGCTTCAAGGTTTTCCTCCCTGTTCAGTGTTCCTCGGCCAAGAAGCACAGCGCGCCCGCCAGGCTCCAGGCACGGTGAAGGCACATGGCAGACGGCCTCCTCCTCCAAGGATCCTGATCTAGGGCGGAGCAGTGGCACTCTTCGTTGTAATTTAAGGCCGAATTTGTCAAGGGCCCTGACAAGTGTAGTGATGTGTGAGGGCAGTCATTAATTATGTCCTCTGGGCCTTGAGAAATGAGTAGGAGTTCCCATACTGAGAAGTTGGCCAGCATTCTAGGTGAGGACGTGGCAAAATGAATGAGGGAACGTTTCAGAGGAAAAGGCACGAAGCTCACCATCCAAATGCCACCTTAACGTGGACAAAGAGACTAAACTCAGATCTAGAAGCAGCTCTGCCCAGAGGACCGCTTGCTTCCCCTTCCTCCTCTCAACACTCCCGGGATCCCGAGCTCTTCTGTGGTGGGGTTCTTCTTCGCCTGCTTTCTGTTCTTTACGAGCAATTTGTCTCCCCTTCAGTCCATCCTCATTTTCCTTTTCCTCCCACCCCTCCTCCCACCCCCACCTCCATCCCCAGGAGCTTCTGGCGGCCACAGCTGTGCTAGGCTGGGCCTGGTGGCACCTTCTCTTGGCTCTGGCATTGCGGGAACCGGGCCTCATCTCGGTCGTCCCTGCACAGCCTGCACTGAGCTAGGGAGGCGGTTCTTTGACATGAACTCATTAACACAGAGGGGACGTGGGGCTGATATTACTTAGGGAAAGAGGCCTTCGTGAGAGAAGAGGGATGGAGGGTGGGGAGAGGCCTTTCAGGAGAGAGAGCAAAGGCAAGACTCGAGGAGGAAGAGAAGCTCGCTGTTACCAGAGGCTTCAGAGAGCGGGCGTCGTGGAGGGGGCCATGTGGCATTAGTCAGGTGGCTGTGATCACGCTTTGAGGGAATTAGTAGGAGGGGTGAGGGGCATGAGCTCGGGGATGAGCCGGGGGTGAGGAAGCTGCAGGCCACACGCCTGGCCTCGGGGGGAGGCTGCCCGCTCCGCGCTGGCTCACCCGCACTTTGGCCTGTCTCTGCGCTTCGGCCTCCACAGCCAGGGAGTGCTGGAGCCCCGCCGGCAGCCGGACGTCCTTGCTGGAAAGGAAAGAGGGTGGGCGGGCAGGTGCGTGAGCCGCACGGCTGTTAGCAGCCAGGGCTTCGGCCAGGCAGCCAGCGTCTCTGCTGGCACTTCAGGATGCACATGCCATCTAACAGGGTGGCCGCCCCCAGGCCTCTAAGGTCAATGGTGGGCGGAGAAGGGCCGCTCGAAAGTCAGGGCCTCAAAGGCAGACACTCATGGTCGGTGATGCTACGGTGGCAGCACTCGGGTTTGTCTGTGCAAGTAGAACACATTCTGTTGTTGATGGAGGATTATGACTTTTCCTGCTTAAGGTTTAATCTAAACCCCAGCTATTAAATTTAAACGATGAAAACAGCTTTGATGGGGTGCCTGCGTGGCTCGGTCGGTTAAGCGTCTACCTTTGGCTCAGGTCACGATCCTGGGATGGAGCCCCTGGTCAATCAGGGAACCTGCTTCTCCCTCTCCCTCTGCCATTCCCCCACCTGTGCTCTCTGGCTCGTTCTCTCTCTCTCTCAAATAAATAAATACAATCTTAAAAAAAAAAAAAGAAAAAGAAAAACAGCTTTAACAAGCTGGGAAGACATCTAATTTTCTAAAGGAATTGATTTTGAAAAGAGCAGAACTGACCACATAAGAGCAATACTTAATGTATTACATAAAAGATACAAAACTGTATTTTTACTCTGTTTGCAACTATGAAAACGACGCAGCTGGAAAACAACTGGCACTTCCATGGAAAGTTAAACATGGAGTTACCATACGAGCCAGTAATTCTGCTAGGTATATGTGAAAACACGTTCCCACAAAAGCTTGCACATGAACGGTCGCTGCAGTGTTCTTCGGAATAGTCCCAACGTGGAAACAACCCAAATGCCCATCGTGAGTGAGCAGGTGATCCCAATGGGCTGTACCCACACAACGAACAGATAGTATATGACCGTCAAAAGGAATGACGTCCTGATTCCTGCTTCACCACGGATGAACCTTGAAAACAACATCCTGAGTGAAAACAACCAAACACAAAAGGTCGTGTAATGGACGACCACTTTTGTCTGAGACAGCCAGGACAGGTGAGGGCACATTAGTGTCATTGGGCTGGGGGGCAGGGGAGCAATGAGGAGTCCCTGCTTGATGTGTGTGGGTTTTCTTTTGGGGGCGATGAACATGTTATGAAATTAGACAGTTGTGATGGTTACACCACTCCGTGAATACAATAAAAACACCCCGTTGTACTTTAAAATGGTTATAATGGTGAGTTTTTATGTTATAGGAGTTTTATCTCAAAAAAGTTGTTTTAAACCCATGGAGAGAAATATCATGAAAGTAACCTGCCTAAATGTTACGGAGGTTGTGTTATGGCTGTGAGTACTAGGTAAATTTTTTTGTCTCAATTTATGCCAATGTGGCTATAGTGCTAACCTCATTGAAAATAATTTAAAAAATTATTTTAAAATAAAACCAGAATATATCCGTTTGTCACATTGCTTTTCTTGCTTAATTTCCTACCCACATTTCTGTTCTCTCCACTTTGATTCCCCAAATACAGGTCACTGCATCCAAGGCCACCTGTGGAGGGAAGAGTTGAGATGTCAGTGAGAACCTCCAGGCGAGTAGAGCACCCCTGGGCCCTCACGGCCATTGTTCTGAACTGAGAAAGTACATTTCCTTTGAAGAGACGTTCATCTCCTATTTTGTATTAACCTTACGGTGTCTTGCAAAAAGTTGCTTAACTTGGGGCGCCTGGGTGGCTCATGTCATTAAGCACCTGTCTCTTGATTTCGGCTCAGGTTGTGATCTCAGGGTTGTGAAATCAAGCCCCACATTGGGCTCCATGCTGAGTGTGGAGCCTGCTTGAGATTCTCTCTCTCTCTCTCTCTCCCCCTTTGCCCCTCATCCCACGCTCTCTCTCTTTTTAAAAAATAAACTTGCTTAACTGCACAGTGCCGCTCAATAAATATTGGGGAATTAGAGATGGTGTGGTAGGCTGAATAATGGCCCCCAATCCATGTCCTTATCTCTGGAACCTGTAAATGTTACCCCAGAAGAGACCTTGAAGATGGGATTAAGTTTAAAGGATCTTAAAATGGGGGAGATTACCTAGGATCTTCCCTGTGGGGCCCAAAAGCAGTCACAAGTGTCCTTTTAAGAGGGAACAGAAGGAGATGTGACTATGGAAGAGGAGAAGGTAATGTGATTCTGGGGGCAGAGTTTGTTGCGATAGGAAGGAAGGGGCCAGGAAGCTGGGGAAACAGGCGGCCACTAGAAACTGGAAAGGCAAGGAAATGAATTCTCCTCTTAGAACCTCCAGAAGGAAGCAGCCCTGGTGCCATCTTGACTTTGGCCCCAGTGAGACTGCTTTTGGACTCCTGGCCTTCAAAACCATACGAGATCAAACTGGCATCATTCTAAGTCACCAAATGTGTGGTAATTTGTTACAGAAGCAATGGGAAACCAATACAGACGGTGAACTTGTTAAATTGTTTTAAGATGCATTTATTAGAGAACCAGAGTCTAGGCTCTCCCAAATGGTTTCATTTAGAGGTGCTTCCTTCCTGCTGGTGGCGCCCATTTGCCCCACTTCCTTGTCCCAGAAGGCAGAAGACAATGAACTGTGGGCTCTGGAAAGGCAGGGCAGGGCATGGCGCACCCAATGGGCGCCCATACTCTTTTCCGATTCACTCGTTTCTGAGGATTTCTGTGGCTAGACAGCTAGCTAGCGACTAATCTGGGGGGTGGTGATGAGAGGGCGTGTTGAAAAGACCTCATGTAAGCAGTGGCATCTTAAAAGACAAATAGGATTTTGCCTGTGGGGAAAAGGGAAGCATTCCTTGCAGAGGCACCGGGGAGCAGGAAGTGCTGAAGGCCAGAGAACGCTGCGGGAGTGTGGGGTGAGGGAGGGGGGTTGGAGGGTTAGAACATGGTGGAGGGTAAGGGGAGATGGCAAGGGATGGGGCTACAACAGCTGGCTCATTTGTTCACTCATCCGGAGAACATTGTCTGACTGCTGTGTGACAAGCCCTGTGCCGGGTGCTATGAACAAAGAGATGGATAAAATATGACCCCTGCCATTGTGGAGTCCATAATCTGGGAAGACACATGTGGACATACATAAATTATAATCCAGTGTAACAAAGGCAAGCTTGGGTGTCCAGCCTCCGGACCTTGTCTTGCATCCTTTAGAAGGAGTGATGAAGAGGAAGAGAGGCTGAGGGGCCAAGGGGAAGTGCACTCAGATGGGATGAAGGGCAGAACCAGTGGCAATGACTTTCAACTTCTCACTCAGCTGTCAGCTCCTTGAAGGATGGCACCTTCAACAGTGAATGCCTGCCAGATGCTTCCATTGCATGTGCATCAATGAATGACCAGTGAAGAGATGAATAAAAGAGAAAGAGGTATTTCAACATATTCAATGACAAACGTATCAAAGTACCTTTATATCTTGGGCAATGCTCTTCCTCTCTAGAAGAATTTCAGTGAGGGATCGATGTGCTAGGAGACGTTTCATGGTGGTCTGCACAAGAAATTGGACTGCTCTGGGCACGTGAGCAAGACTGCTTAGGAGGAGAGAGGCATTTTCCATTCGGTAGTAGCAAATGGCATCTATCTCCATTATAAACATGTCTTTGGTCACAACCTGGGCAGAAAACAAGAGTTTGGAGAATAGGCCTTATTTTAGGTCTCTTTTCCCAGGTGAGGATAGTGAAGCTAAATGTGTTCAAGGGAAATTTTCTCAGTATGATTACAGGGGGAAAAAAAAAGAGTCTTTGGCCCACCCTTTTATTCAAAATAGATGTGTTTTTGGAGATTATGGGGTTTTTATGAAATATACTAAACAACTCACTATTTAAAGGAATCCTGTTGTAAATAGTTTTAAAATTTTATTTATTTTTATTAATAATTATTTGCTTCAGGGGTATAGGTCTGTGAATCATCAGTCTTACACAATTCACAGCACATACCCTCCCCAATGTCCATCACGTAGCCACGCCCCACTCCAGCAACTTTCAGTTTGTTTCCTATGATTAAGAGTCTCTTTCGGTTTGTCTCCCTCTCTGGTTTCATCTTGTTTTATTTTTCCCATCCTTCCTCTATGCTCCTTTTTTTTTTTTTTTTTTCAGATTCCACATGAGTGAAATCATATGATGACTGTCTTTCACTAATTGACTTATTTCACTTAGCATAATCCCCTCTAGTTCCATCCATGTCATTGCAAAGGGCAAGATTTCAGTTTTTGATGGCTGCATTGTATATATATATATATACACACACACATATATATGCATATATACTTCTCACATCTTCTTTATCCATTTATCTGTCATTGGACATCTGGGCTCTTTCCACAGTTGGGCTATGGTGGACATTCGGGTACAGGTGCCCTTTTGGATCACTACATTTGTATCTTCTGGGTAAATACCCAGTAGTGCAATTGCTGGATTATAGGGTAGCTCTTTTTTCAACTTTTTGAGGAACCTCCATACTGTTTTCCAGAGTGGTTGCACCAACTTGCATTCCCACCAACAGTGTAGGAGGGTTCCCCTTTCTCTGCATCCTCACCAACATTTGTCATTTCTTGACTTGTTCATTTTAGCCATTCTGACTGGTGTGAGGTGGTATCTCACTGTGGTTTTGATTTGGATTTCCCTGATGCTCAGTGATGTGGAGCACTTTTTCATGTGTCTGTTAGCCATTTGGATGTCTTCTTTGCAGCAATGTCTGTTCAGGTCTTCTGTCCATTTCTTGAATGGATTGGATTATTTGTTCTTTGGGTGTTGAGTTTGATAAGTTCTTTATAGATTTTGGATACTAGATCTTTATCTGATAGGTCATTTGCAAATATCTTCTCCCATTCTGTTGGTTGTCTTTTGGTTTTGTTGACTTTTTCCTTTGCTGTGCAAAGGCTTTTGATCTTGATGAAGTCCCAATCATTCTTTTTTTTTTTTTTTTAAAGACTCCATTCATTTATTTGACAGACAGATCACAAGTAGGCAGAGAGGCAGGCAGGAAGAGAGAGGAGGAAGCAGGCTCTCTGCGGAGCAGAGAGCCCGATGCGGGGCTTGATTCCAGGACCCTGGGATCATGACCTGAGCCGAAGGCAGAGGCTTTCAGCCACTGAGCCGCCCAGGCGCCCCCCAATCGTTCATTTTTGCCCTTGCTTCCCTTGCCTTTGGCGATGTTCCTAGGAAGAAGTTGCTGTGGCTGAGGCCGAAGAGGTTGCTGCCTGTGTTCTCCTTAAGGGTTTTGAAAGATTCCTATCTCACATTATGTCTTTCACCTATTTTGAGTCTATTTTTGTGTGTGGTGTAAGGAATGGTCCAATTTCATTCTTCTGTATGTGTTTGTCCAATTTTCCCAGCACCATTTGTTGAAGAGACTATCTTTTTTCCATCAGACATTCTTTCTTGCTTTGTTGAAGATGAGTTGATCGTAAAGTTGAGGGTCCATTTCTGGGCTCTCTATTCTGTTCCATTGATCTGTGTGTCTGTTTTTGTGCCAGTACCATACCGTCTTGATGATGACAGCTTTGTAATAGAGCTTGAAGTCCAGAATTGTGATGCCACCAGCTTTTCTTTTCTTTTTCTTTTTTTCAAGATTTTATTTATTTATTTGACACAGAGAGAGAGAGCGATAGAAGGAAAACAAGCATGGGGAGTGGGAGAGGAAGAGGAGGCTTCCCGCTGAGCAGGGAACTGGGTGCGGGGCTTGATCCCAGGACACTGGGATCATAACCTGAGCCCAAAGGCAGAAGCTAAACGACTGAGCTGCCCAAGCACCCCTGCTTTTCTTTTTCAACACTCCCCTGGCTATTCAGGGTCTTTTCTGGTTCCATATAAATTTTAGGATTATTTGTTCCAGCTCTGTGAAAAAAGCTGATGGTACTTTGATATGGATTGCATTAAATGTGGAGATTGCTCTAGGTAGCATAGACATTTTCACAATATTTGTTCTTCCAACCCATGAGCATGGAACATTTTTCCATTTCTTTTGTCTTCCTCAGTATCTTTTGTGTGTATTCTATAGTATTCTGAGTACAGATTCTTTGCCTCTTTGGTTAGATTTATTCCTAGGTATCTTATGGTTTTGAGTACAATTGAAAATGGGATCGACTCCTTATCTTTCTTTTGTCTTATTGTTAGTGTATAGAAATGCAACTGATTTCTGTGCATTGATTTTGTATCCTGACACTTTACTGAATTCCTGTATGAGTTCTAGCAGTTTTGGGGTGGAGTCTTTTGGGTTTTCCACATAATGTAAATATCAGGAATACTCTTTCCTAGATGAAAGCATTCAGTTAATTGTTTTAACCTGATGCCAAAAAAAAATGTGCTAAAAGGAAAGCACGTTCTAGGAAACAAGTGCTCTGATATGTTGTTTGCTGAGTATATACTAGGCAGCAGACGGGTGCTACACACCCAGAGCCCAAAAAGCTGCTCCTTCTCAGTATTTCCATTTTTAGACACTTATAACAAGGACATAGTTTAAGGATGTAACTGCAAGGATGTCATTCATAGTGTTGTTTATTATAATGAAAAATTAAAAATTAAAAATAAATTAATATTCACAATAGGGAATTGTGAATTGTGGTACATCCATACAATGAAATGCTATGTGCTCATTTAAAACAAAGGGCGCCTGGGTAGCTCAGTGGGAAGAGCATGAGACTCTTGATCTTGAGGTTGTGAGTTCAAGCCCCACGTTGGGTCTAGATATTACTTAAAAATAAAATCTTGAAGAAAATAAGACAAAGGGATAGAAACATAGCTTGAAAACATGATCCAACAGAGGGTTGAGTGGAAAAAGGCATGTTATAAAATAGTATATGTATACCTGTCTGTAAATACAGCCACATAGAAAAATTTGAAAGGATATACTCTGATAAAAGGGGAACTTAGCTTAGCCAAGCTGACCCATAAAATTAACCATCACAAGGTCCTTTGCCCATTTTTAAGTGAGTTGTTTGCTTTCTTGTTGATTTGTAAGATTTCTTTATATATTCTGGGTATTAAACCTTATCAGAAGCATTATTTGCAAATATTTTCTTCCACCCCCATAGGTTACCTGTTCATTCATTTGATCATGTCCTTTGATACACAGGAGTTTTTAATTTTGATATAGCCCATATCTCCACTTTTCTACTTTTGAGCTTAAATAGTCATTTTGCCTTGGACCAGAATTGGTAGCTCAGCCATATGAAATGTAGAGAGAAAGCAAAATCCAATCCAATCCAAAAATTGACTTACCTCATGAAAGGGTATCTCCAAAGTTTGGAGACGAAGGTCAACCTTGTGATAGGTATCCAGGCAGGGCAAAAAGAAGAAAAGGCCTAGAAGAGGGTGGTACGGAGATTGACAGGTGAATGGTTAGTATGGAGATTGTTTGGGCTTTACCTCTTTGAGGTCAGGTTGCATATTGCATTGCTTTCCTTAGTCTCCAACTACAGACTGATTGGGTAATCCGTCTCTATCCCTATAGTGAGTCTGTGGTTGCTAAAGTTACCACATAATTTTTTGTTCAATCTAGGACACTTTTGAGGGTAAAAGGAGAGCATTGTTACAACTTACTCTAGGATAACAGATATAAACAGGGATTAACCCCAGCAAAATGGGCTGTATGGTCTCCTTGGTCATGGTGCTGACCCCTCCAGATCTTGGGTAACATGTCTGTCTTCTTCACTAGATTTAACTCTCTAACAAGAGTGTCTTATGAACATCTATTAGTCTTAGTGCCTTTAAGGGGCTCTGTAAAATTATTTTTGAATCCATCCATGTACCATTATGAACAACTTTAGAGCCGGCAAACTCTGGAGCCCAGGACCTCTCAGAGGAGCAGACTAGCTACTATCCCTTTCTAGTTGCAGTAAAGAAGGATGCTGAAAACTAGAACCAGAACAAATGCTCCCTGTCCTAGACCACAGGCTCTGGTTCTACTTTTGTGTGGATCCATCTGCTTGTTCTGAATTGTCAAACTCGGATTTGTGTCTTCTAGTCTAGTCTAGTCTCTATTCTCTACCTGTTTCTATAGAGCTGGCTTGGCTCTTGGATGCTTGCTAATATATGCACCTGGGACTTTACTCCTTCCCATGCCTTTCTGGCTGGCGGGGATCTGCAAACCCCAACTACTAGACTTTGTGGACTAACTATACTTCTGTCTGTGCTTCGATCTCTGGACACCAACTCTGCTAGACTTTAAGGTCCTAGAGATCAGAAACCACGTCTCATGTATCCATCTTTGCCTCCCGGGCAGTTAGACATCGTCTAAACCACAGGAAGTGCTCAGTCTATGTTTTCTAAATTCCACGAACTAAAGGCCAATTTGTCACTCAGATGCTGGACTTTGCCTATCTCTGGTTTGTTCTGACCCCCCCCCCCCAAAACAGATTCTGAACTAGCTCACAGCACTCTAACCAAAACATGTTCTGCTCAAACCGGTGCCCAGCCATGGGTCTTAGGCCTACTTGCTACACCAGTCAGCCCGGCCCCGGCACTTGACTCTCTATGCCCATCCTCTCTCTTGGCCATTGTGACGGGATAGTAATGCTCTCTGAAGACTCTTTCATAACCTGTGTTACAAGTAACAGATTAGTCAATACAGATATCACGAACCAGGTGACTTTATATAATCTGAGGTCCATATTATGAATATGCACGGACTGAAGAAATTGGCAAGTCTATGGCAGGGGTAGAAGGGTGTTTCATACCAGGGCCTTTGGCTCTTCCAGGAAGCAGGTGTCCCAGTCGGAATATTAATACTCTCTCATACTCCTGTGCAACCTAAAGGGAAAAATAATACTTTCGAAACACTCCAAGAAAGAAAAAGTCTTCAAAAGGCCTTGGCACATGAGAATGATCCTAGGTATCAGAAAACTAGTTTTGAGAACTAAGAAAAAATTTCTATTAACATTTACATTTCCAGAATGTACACTTAGTAAAGGTAGAACTTCAGAAACCTTTGCAAGTATATTGGCCTTGTTAATTTTTGAGCCCATGAACAGAATTTTGATTAAAGAGTCATGATGATCTAAAAAATAATGCTTCTACGATGTCCAACATACAGAAATCAAGAAAATCACAGTGTGTTTAATCTTGTAGTTTGCTGTAACTTCTCCATTATTAGCTTTTATAATGATCCCACATTTGCTATTTAATGGAAAGAGGGAGTATATTTTAATACCTCTTGTGATAATTGTTTCAAACTGCAATTTCTTCTGAAGTTGATTCACAATGATTCAACTAGATCTCAATTTGCCAATTGCCATTGGTGATCATGTCTAGAAAAATGAAGTGTGCCCTGAAAATGTGTAGCATTTTTAAATGACACAAAGGAAGATTCTCTTTGTGTAGAAATATCTGTATGTTAGAAGAGAAACAGGGAAGTTAACACACACTACTTCAAAAATAAACTTCAGTTTTTCTGGCCCAGTATCAAAATCTGGGTTCTACTGCTTGCTTATCATTAGTTTATTTGGTCTGTTGATTTGTATATGTGCCCCACCTGTGAACTCTTGTTGAATGAACAAATGAATTATTTGTGACTATAGACATGCTTTCCTTCTTCATCCTTCCTCCACTTTGGAAAGCTCCACTGAATAATAATTAGTCAAATATGAAAATGCAGTAAAGAGACAAAAAGTAACACATTTTGAAGTGTGATTCCTAAGGGAAGAGCTCCGGCCCCCCCCCCCCGCCACCCCCCAACTAAAGTCCCTTGGGACATGGCTTGTTGATCTTTCTGAGGTTTACAAGTCCTGTACCTGAATCCTGCCTTTCTTGTTGAAACAATGAATGAGAAGGAATGCCTACCTAGATTTGTTTCCTAGAGCAGGCCCCGGGCACCTCCGATTTCCTGGTTCCCTGGCATTACTTGTTTCTTTTCTGCCTTTACTGGAAGAAACAAATTCTTCCTAGAGATGCAGAGGAGACTTACTCCTTTGAGACCTTGCTCAAATGTTACACATCATTCTGCTTTTGTATCCTCTACCCTTAGGTTTACCATTTTTTCCTCTCTAAAAGTTTATTTAATTATTTTAGAGAGGGAGAGCATGTGCACATGTGCATGCACAGGCAGGGGCCAAGGGAGAGGGAGAGAGAATCCTTAAGCAGGCTCCCTGCTGAGCACAGAGCCCAATCTGGGCTTGATCCCAGGACCCTGAGATCGGGACCTGAGCCAAAATCAAGGGTCGAGTGCTTAACCCACTGAGTCACCCCAGGCACCCAAGACAAAATGGAATTGAAAACAAACACACAAAAATGTGCTGGTGATAAAGAGGGACACTGTATAACAATAAAAGGGTCAGTGTGTTGGGAAAGTATAACAATGATAAACATATATGTACCTAAAAATAGAGATCTAAAATACAAGAATCAAAAATCAAAAGAACTAAAGGGAGAAATAGACAATTCAAGCAACAATAATAATTGGAAAATTTAATATTCCACTTTCAATCATGGAGAGAACAACTAGGCAGAAGATAAACAAGGAAGTAAGACTTGAATAACACTATACACAAACTAGACCTAACAGATATCTACACACAACACCCAACAACAGCAAAATACACTTTCTTCTCAAGAACACATGAAACATTGGGGTGCCTCTGTGCTTGGTCGATTAAGCATCTACCTTCAACTCAGGTCATGATACCAGAGTACCAGGATTGAGCCCTATATTGGGCTATCCACTCAGTGGGGAGTCTGCTTCTCCCTCTGACTCTCCCCCCTCTGGTGCCCTCTCTCTCACACTCTCACTCTCTCAAATATATAAGTAAAAATCTTCAAAAAAAGGTAAAAAGAACACATGAAACGTCTATAGGATAGATCAAATGTTAGCCATAAAACAAACCTCAATAAATTTAAAGCTATTGAAATTACACAAAGTATGTTATCTGATTACAATGGAATGAAATTGGAAATCATTAACAAGGAAATTTGGGGAATTCATAAATATATAAAAACTGAACGACACACTCTAAAATAACAAATGGATCGGGGTGCCTGGGTGGTTCAGTGGGTTAAAGCCTTTGCCTTCAGCTCAGGGCATGATCCCAGGGTCCTGGGATCAAGCCCCACATCGGGCTCTCTGCTCAGCAGGGAGCCTGCTTCCTCCTCTCTCTCTCTCTGCCTGCCTCTTTGCGTACTTGTGATGTCTGTCAAATAAATAAATAAAATCTTTAAAAAAATAAAATAACCAATGGATCAAAGAAGAAATCAAAAGAGAAATTAGAAAATATTTTGAGTTGAATGAAAACAAAAACTTAGATACCAAAACATGAGAGATGCAACTAAAGCAGTGCTTAAGAGGAAAATTTATAGCATAGATGCCTATGATAAAAGATAAAAAATATCTCAAAATAAAATCCCAGTTGTCTACCATAAGACGCTGGAAATAGAAGAGCAAACTAACTCTAAAGCAAACAGAAAGAAGAAATTAATGAAGATTAGAGTGGAAATAAATGAAATAGGAAATAGAAAAACAATAGAAAAATCAACCAGAAGTTGGTTCTTTGAAAAGATCAACAAAATTGACAAATACTTAGCTAACTGGACCAGGGAGAAAAAAAAAGAAGACTCAGATTCCAAAATCAGGAATGAAAAAAGGAATTACAGGAACATCACTACTGTCCTTACAGGGGGAAAATTTAAAAAAAGATGATAAAAGAAAATACTATGAACAACTATATGCCTCAAATTAGATATAACTTAGGTGAAATGGACAAATCCCAGTATAGATGCAAGTACAAAACTGACCTGAGAAAAAAACAAACTGAAAAGACCCAGAAGTAAAAGACTGATTAGCAGTTTCGAAATTTCCCACAGAGAAAAGTCCAAGACCAGATGGTTTCACTGGTGAATCGTGCCAAACATTTAACAAGCAAGTAATACCAGTTCTTCACAAATTCAGAAAGAGAAGAGCAGAGAAATCCGTCCAACTGCTTCTCTGAGGCCAGTATTTCCCTGATGCCAAAACAAGAGATCGACATCACAAGGAAACTACAGACCAATATGTCTTATGAATATAGATGTAAAATCCTCCACAAACTACCAGCTGCCTGAATCTGGGAACATAAAAAGAGGATTAGACACCATAACCAAGTGGGATTTATAACTAGGAACACACAGTTGGTTTAACATCCAAAATTCAATGAATGTGATACACCATCTCAATAGAATAAAGGGCAAATAGCATGTGATTATCTCAATGGATGCAGAAAAGGCACTGGACAAAATCCAACACCCTTCTGTGAAGAAGGATGGCTGGGGGGTGGGATGGGTGCTGGGGGCAGAGGAAGAAGAGGAGGGGGGGGAGAGGGGGAGGGGCGTGCCTGAGAAGTGCCATCAGCAACGGTCCCAGCAGCACCTGTAGTCTTCCAGTCAAGGACTTGATCTTCCCCGGGAGCTCCAGCCAATGACAGCAATGGCAGGGGTACTCGGGCCTGGCCATTTCTGCCCATCATGGAACTCCTCTTTGAAGCGGACTTTGCTCTGGAGTTCCCCCTCAGCTGGCCAATACTACACCCCAGTCTGAGGTTCTTTCTGTCCCATCCTTCCTTCACTTCTCATAGCACAGGTGTCAGACCTGCATTCTTGTCTGACAGCTCTCTCTGCCTACCCTTACTCTCTCTTCCTTAATCTTTCACAGACAATGCCTCCCAATGACTCCCAGAGGAGTAGGGGGGAGGCCATTCCATGCAGAGCAGACAGCACATACCAAGTCACAGAGGACTGGAGCTGGGGTCAGTGAGAGGCACCAAGAAATTCCTTTCTGGGCTCTCACGGAATCTTACCTTTATGCAGAACCAGATCGAAAAAGGGAAGGTCACGATGATGAAGAGCAGGGATGTGAGGACAAGGAGCCATTCACAGACCCCTAAACCTGAAGACTTGGTACCTAAAACAAAACAAAACAAAAGGAAAAGAATAATTATACTGGAGGGGCACCTGGGTGGCTCAGTGGGTTAAACCTCTGCCTTCAGCTCAGGTCATGATCTCAGGGTCCTGGGAATCGAGCCCCACATCGGGCTCTCTGCTCAGCAGGGGGCCTGCTTCCTCCTCTCTCTCTGCCTGCCTCTCTGACTACTTGTGATCTCTCTGTCTCTGTCAAATAAATAAATAAAATCTTAAAAAAAAAAAAAGAATAATTATACTGGAATGTTACCATATTCACTGACCAGTACTTGTTCATCCAGTTCTTGGTAGGAGGGTCAGAGCAGTGTGTAGACTTTGCTAGAAATTTAGAGGGAGCTGGATATCAATGGTCAGTTCGCATGATGGGACATTGTCTGGGCAGGGCTCTGTGGGGCTGTGGAAGGTGGAACAGACTTCTGGAAAGGCTGTAGTGGGGTACCTGGAAAAAGCACAGAATCTCGGCAGAAGGTCTGGATCGAGTTCTGGCTCCACCATTTTCTGTCCAGTGACCTTAAGCAAGGCACATGACCTCTTCAAACCTGTTTAGTTGGGGTGCCTGGGTGGCTCAGTTGGTTAAATGTCTGCCTTCGGCTCAGGTCATGATCCCTGGGTCCTGGGATCAAGCTCTACATCAGACTCCCTGCTGGGGGAGGGGGAGTCTGCTTATCCATCTCCCTCTGCCCCTGATTGTGTGCTCTCTCTCTCTCTCACTCACTTTGTCTCTCAAAGAAATAAATAAAATCTTAAACCAAAAAACCCCCGCAAAACCTGTTTCCCCATCTATATGGTGGGGATGTTAACTAGCTCATAATAACTATCTCATAACTCTCTCATGAGATAGTTTTTATAGCATTGATATAAATAGGAAATTTCATATTTACATAAAAATCACTGAAGTGTGCTTATTAGGTATCAAGTATTGATTCTTATGTGATTCAAACCACATGAGTGCAGAGACTCATCTTCTCAGAAATGACTTCCCCGTCTACTACTTGCCCCAAATGTCTCAAATTCCTCCATTAGAGTCTCTTCTTTGGATTAGGGTGTGGATCTCCAGACAGTCTTTGAAAAAATCATCCCTATGGGGTAATATCAGCCTTGTAGCATCTAGAAATAAAAGTAATGAGGAACTGGACTGCAGAACTCCAGATTGCTTGAGTAATAAAGGAAAATGTTTCAGGAAAAGCTAATCTCAAGAACACAAGCCTCCTGGGTTATTTACGTTGTATCCCTAAGGGCTTAGAATAGTGCCTAACCTAATATAGGTGCTCGATAAATTTTTTTTTCACTTTTCTTTCTTTTAATACCTAAGAGTAGGTGCTCGATAAATATTTGTTGACTTGTAAGGATGAAGGAGAAGTGGATAGAGAAAATTATTTAAATGGACTAGTTATGGCAACCTCAAGAATTTTAATTTCCAGGTCCTGGGAAGCTGGCCAAAGCGATGCTGTTTGTGAGTTTAAAAACATCACGGATGACCAGAAGTTGACTAAAGATTAGGAAGGTGAAAAGCCTATTTTCAAGGGATGGGGGAAAAAAAGGAGGAAAACTAGTTGGTAGCCTTGAATATTTGATTTCTGTGACTGGAAAATAATTGGCAAGGTCATCACCAAATCAATCACTTGCTACACAAGCATCAGCCCAAAATTAGCATCAGCACTAAATGCTGTAGTATGGTAGCTCCTAAAGTGTGTCTCATGAAACACTAATCGCTCCACAAAACAAAACAAGAGTTCCCAGGACAAACAAGTTTAGGAAATCCTGTGTTCCCTGTCCTACTCCTAGAGCTCCCCTGTTCACATGCATATTGAAGCAGGAGAATCCCTGCAGTAAAGAAGCATTCTTAGCTTTGTTTAACCTAGGATTTCCCAAACATTTGACCAGGCAGTGTTTTCTCCAAGGAAATTCATGTCCCATAAAATTTATTTCTCACACAATCCATTTTGGGAAATGCTGCTTTATCAACATCGTGTTGGTTTTTTACAATATTCTTCCTTAAGGACAATAAGGGTGGTACTGCCATGTTTAATTAGTTTATAAACATATTTCAATTGCCAGTGGTGACCATGGCAAGTAAAAAGAAAGAAATACTCCTACGGACAAAATAGCATTTTATAAGGGAAGAAAGTCCTCAAAATGCCTTCACATAGGAGTTAGAGATGTGAACAAAAAAAAACCGATACTTAATACCCCAAATCTAACTTATAGCTTTACTCACAAAGTATTGTTCTCTTGGAATGAGTTCCTTGAATAGTCAGCTTTTTTGGTTTAAGTGAATAGTGAAATACTAAATGTTAAGGCAGAGAGAGTCTTAGATAGGCCATAGTCTAAGAAGCTCCAACATTTTGGTAAGGTGAAGCTCTTTTCATCTTTCTCTAATCTTTTTTTTTTTTTTTTAAGATTTTATTTATTTGACAGAGATCACAAGTAGGCAGAAAGGCAGGCAGGGAGAGAGGGGGAAGCAGGCTCCCTGCTGAGCAGAGAGCCTGATGCGGGACTCGATCCCAGGATCCTGGGATCATGACCTGAGCTGAAGGCAGAGGCTTCACCCACTGGGCCACCCAGGCACCCCCATCTCTCCCAAGTCTTAAGGAGCCTGGCTGAGGGAGCATGGTGCTAGGTGAGCCGGAGGAGGGGCTGTTGCTCCTCTCCCTCCCAGGACCCCTGGAAGTCACAGAAACTTCCCAGACAAGGGCTCAGCAAGGCCACCTCATCCTCAATGGGACTTCTCGTCTATTGCTTAGGGTCTTGGGCTCCAGTCACTTTATAGCTGGAGAGACTGAGGAAGGTCCGCAAATTCCTTGCCTGAGGCCACACAACTGGTGGCAGTGCTAGGACCCTGAGGAGGAAGCAGGGGCAGCACCATGCACGGAGGGGCGGAAGCTGGAACTCCCCCCTCCCCCGCTTCCAGCCGTAGGTCTTTGGCAAGGCATTTAATTTCCCCGAAAGTTTCCCTATCAGCGATGTGGGAACAATAATAATACTCAGTAAAACACCGAGTGTGTGCCTGGCAGATATTAAAGGGGGCCTCCGTTCCTTGCTTACCCCAACCGATGTGGTCTGAAGCAGGATACCTACAAGACCTCTCACCTCAGCAGTACTGCAGCATTGAACCTAACAAACCTTTAAAGACCTGAAGTTTCCGACGGATGAAAGGGCATCCGTTGGGCCAAACAGCATTAAAATGATCCATATAAATTGCACCAACTGCACGAATCTTTGTCAAATCACACCTTTCAATGCACCCACATATACTGCATTGCTGGTAACCAGGAAATGATGTTAAAATTTCATAGCCCGCAGAAAGCAAAATAACACACGCTTCCTTATCGACTTTCCGTTAGACCTTTGCCATTCTACACTAAAGGTGTAAGGCATTTTTTTCTTCCATTTACTCTAAAAAGGATTGGAAACAGATAAATTTGTACCTAAGAGTTGCTCCACCCACAGAAGCCAAAAAGACATCTTTTCCCAGGGATTCCTTCCTTTGGTCTAACCTTCCTCTATTTTAGCTTGCAAGGATTCTGTTCAAATTGGGTCTGTTCTTTGCTCCCAGCTCTGTGCAAAGTGCTTTGAGTGCCACATCTCCTTTTATCCTCACACCTGCCCTCCCAGGTAGGTGCAGTTGTTTTCCCTCTGGCACAGCTGGTGAAGGCCGCACCTCTGATCCCATGGCTAGCTAGTTGAGGTTTAAATTCAGGTCTAGCTCTTCTCCACTTGGCTCTGCTGCCAAATGATCACCCCGAAGAAAGGTTAAAATACTTTTAGGTAAGGGGCGCCTGGGTGGCTCAGTGGGTTAAAGCCTCTGCCTTCGGCTCAGGTCATGATCCCAGGATGGAATCGAGCCCCGCATCGCATCGGGCTCTCTGCTCAGCGGGGAGCCTGCTTCCCTTCCTCTCTCTGCCTGCCTCTCTGCCTACCTGTGATCTCTGTCTGTCAAATAAATAAATAAAATCTAAAAAAAAAAAAAAAACTTTTAGGTAAGACTGAGGGGTGGGGATGAGGGGGAAAAGAATAAGCTGTTCAGTCGCCCAGAACCACCAGTTCTTGAATGTCTGCACTTAGATTAGGTGCCCATATACTCTTCCTTGGCCACAACAACTCCTGCAAGATTCCTTTGCCAAAATCGCTCCTTGGTCCTCAACCTGGACCACTCTCCCTCCCACCTGTCATCCAAGGCTAGCCTCTGAGACCAACAGTATTTAGTTGATGTCATCTGTATTTCTTCTGATGTATTTGGGTCCCCATCACTGGGAAGGAGGATGGCGGGTCCTAACTCGGGCCTTTCATTTTCTGGGAATCAGAGCAGGTCCAGCAGGCTGCTCTGGCCTCGGTGGCTCTCAGCGCCGTGACTCGTTCTCCTCGACCTGCCGTCCCTTGGGTACCACGCGGAAAGGCCACCCCATCTCCCGCATCTCCGACCTGCTATACCTTCCTCGGGCCGCTCGCTCTCCAGCAGCGCCACCACCTCGGTGCCCTCCTCACCGGAGCCCCGGACCTCATCCACGTCCACCACGGTGGCTGCGGGCGCGGTGGACTCCCCCCGGCTCCCCGCCTGCTCGCGCCCTGCGTCCCGGCGCCCACGGCCTCCACCGCCCCTCTCGGCCCTCGCCCTCTTGTTCTCCTTGTGAGGGGACCTGCCGCCTCTCCCGTGGGCCTCTCTGGAGGAGCTCCGAGCCCTCCTCTCCATCTCTGGGAGCCAGCCCGTGAGCGGGGTCGGGGCGGAGTGACCCTCAGGCACAACCCGGGAAGGTAATGACCGCGGGCGGGGCGCGGGGCGGGGCGCGGGACGGGGCGGGGGCTCTGCTCGCGGGGAGGCGGGACGCCGAGTCCTACCAGTCCCCGCGTCTCGGGGGATCTCCCGCGACGCGTTTGCGTGAAGGCCGTGTCCCGCTTCGTGGTGTTTGAACGCGGGTTTCTACAGACGGCAATCTGAGCCGTGCAGCAGGTTCAGTGGTCTGACCACCCCCGAGGCCCGCAAACCGCCGAAGGGGCGGGGGGCTCCGCGCGGGGTTCGTGAACACTGGAAGGACTAAGGGATGTGGTCCTCGTGCAGCTCCGGGCAGCTGGAGGGGAGAGAATAGGTCGGCAAATTAGGTCTTTAAGGAAACGTTAGAAACTTCTCCCCAAGCGCCCCCGTGCCCTTCCGGAGGCTTCCCGAGGGCGCCTTTCCCATTCCGCCTCATTGATTTTATATCCTGGCGCTGCGTTCTGCCGCTGCTTTACCAGTGCTGTCTGTTGGGCGGACTACTCCTGGGACCATTTACATTTCAAAGGTTGGGGGGGGGGGGGGGAAAACTCTTCTAGGCCCCTTTCCTCTCTTTCACATGCACACACTCTCTTATTTGCATTTATTTTTATTAGCTTACGATTGTGCTTACTAATGTTTAAGCCTGTTGCTGATGTAATGCTTCTTGAAGAATCGTAGAAGGGAAGGGATCTGCTTTAACTTTTGTTTTTAGGAAGGGGATGCTTTTGCTTTTGGCTATTCCTTGTTCGCCTGCCTGCTTGGTGAAGGCCTGGCTTGGACTTTGTCAAGGTTCGTTGGCCACTGTCCATCCAGCAGCGAACGGGGGGAGCTGCCCCATTTGCTTCTGAGGAGCTTGAAACATGAAATACATTTATTTACCCTTTACCCTCTGTTAACCACTTGTTTCTCACTGAATGGGTAACCCTTCAAATTCAAGATTTATGAGTCTATTCCAAGCTCAGATCAGGATGGCAGAAATAAGGTTCATTTATTTGTATTTTTCAATATTTACTGAGTTCACACAGGTGTTCCTCTCAAAAACCTTATTAAAGAAAGAGGACCAAAGTAACTTACGTGACTCTGGAAAAATCATTCCACTACTTTCTTCCATATATTCCAAGTTAGGCCACTGGGAATGAAATAATTATAAAATTGGTAATAAATTAATTTAAATAGATTTGTTTTTACTCTCCAAACCCGATTATTGTGTGCGTGATGTAGGGGAGGCAAATGTTTTCTTCGAGCGCCTGTCTCAATTAATAGTTCCTGCCTAGAGCAGGACATTGAGAAAAATTCAGAAGCTGCGTTTGGCCCACAGAGGGAAAAGTATTGCAATTACTTAATATTCACTCAAATGAGCTGTTGCAATTAAACACAGTTTATCATCCTGTAAAGATTTCCCTGTTCAGAGAAGCATGAAACTAATTGTAGCGTTTATTATTTTTTTCTCAGCCTTTGATTCACTTACAAATTAATTTGATCCAGGGTTCTAGCTATACATTCCTAAAATAAACTTGCACCTCAATTTTTACTCCAAGAATTGGCCAGATGATAATCTCAAAACTGTACTGTGTCTGCCAATAAGATAGAGGGATTTCTTGCAGGAGAAAAACTGATGAGAAAAAAGTCTAACTTGGCGCTGGAGTGCATATTGGGTGCTTCTTCTCAATCTCCTTTGCTGTGGGACCATGGATAAGTTACGTAATCTCTACTTCATTTTCTATATCCACGCATAACAGTAATGCAAGCACCTGCTTATAACACAAGGCTGTTGGGGTTATGGATGGCAATGATGATATCTGAAAAAAAGTGTGACATTCCATGGAAAAGAGGTCAATCTGGCATTTCTGAAAGGTGGAGGGGTTGGGGAATGCTGAGGTAGCAGAATGAGTCCCTAGCTGGCTGTACTTACAATGATGTTGCTGTTTTCTTTTTAGATTCCTTTTTAATTGAAAGTATTCTCAGCCCTTTGTTGAAAGTATATGTACACATTTTTGTACTCTTAATACTTTCCTCCTCGTTTGGATTTGTTATGAGACTGGCATCTGTGAGGAGGTTACTAGGAAGGGAAGACCAATTACAGTTGTTGACTTTTGAGTTTGTTTCCAAGACAAAAGACCATGGATGGTTTCAACGCTTTCTAAATTATAATTATTTCTGTTCAGTGTTTTGAAATTTTATATCCATATGGGTAAAAGGAAGGAGTATTGACATGAATTATTTGACGGAAAATCTGGAATTCACTGTCACTAGATAAAATTGCAAATCTTACCATTTTACAGCTGGAAGAAACTACAGGGACTTAATTTGACTTTCTCAACTTGTAGATGGCAGAGAGGCCAAGGAAGATGGCACAGAAGAGTGGTGCTGACGGGAGCTGGCCATGGGCTTTGGGGATGGCAATGGCCAGGGTGCGGGAGCTATTTCTCAGGTAGAGAATCAAGAGAATTTGGTGACCATGTGGGTTAATGAGAGAGGTGGTAAGGAGATAGAAGGCATGAGAAACGTGGCTATTTTGACCTTTATGGGACAAGTAGTTGGTCATAACTGTAGGTATCTCTGCCAGACCCACTTCTCTTTATTATACTGATTTTGCACATATGTGTTCTCACCTTCTTCTCCTGGAGGGAGAAGCTGCTATTGTCAGCTTGTTAGCCACAGTGGTGAGATAAGACTGACTTGACTTTTCTCTCATTAATTCACTTCACAGAAACTTAGTGAGCACCTACTGTGTATTTAGCCCTGCTCACCTCTGAGGATGTAAAGGTAAGATAAGGTGCCTGCCCTTGAGGAATTTATAGTGTAACAGGGAGATACAAATGTGTAGTCAGGTGTGACAAAGTGAAACTCTCAGTTTCAATGACCAAAAATGTCTCCAGACATTGCCAAGTATCCAATAGGGACAAAATTGCTTCTGCTAGAGTACTTCTGATCTATATGGTACCATGAGGACACAGAGGAGGGGGTAATTCTGTTTGGGTGGAGTCAGAAGGGACCCAGTTTGAGCCATATCCGGAGATGGGCATGTGATCCTCAGGTGGGTTTCAAGAACTGAACTTTCCACTGGAGAAGGCAGTACAGAAGGTAGAACTTCATATATGTCCGGTTGTTGGTGAATTGGCAAAGGAGGAGACCAGAGACATAGGCGGCCCAAGAAATGAAAAGCCTTTAACACCATATGAGAGAATTTGGATTTTATCTTATAGCAAAAGAAGCTATCAAAGCTTTATAAGCAAAGTGTAATAAGGTCAGATTGGCAATTTTGAAAAGTGAGTTTGTAGACAAGATTAAAGGTGAATTGAAATGGGCAGAGGATGGAGGTAAAGAGACCCAATAATCCAGGTGAGAGGGGGATATGAGTTATGTTTTGATGAAAATGTGATGACTCTTAATATTGTCTGGTCAAAGTGATTGGGTGAGTGGGGCTGATGTCCAACTGAGGGGACACAAGGCGATCCATTTCAGGACTCTGAGATCATAACCTGAGCCAAAGTCAGGAGTCAGATGGTCAACCAACTGAACCACCCAGGTGTCCCAAGTGCACTTTATTTTTTAAAAAAGGTTTATTGATTTTTAGAGAGTGGAGGGGAAGGGGCAGAGGGGGAGGGAAAGAGAGTCGCAAACAGACTCCCTTCAGAGTACAGAGCTGGATGCAGGGTTCAATCTCAAAACGGTGAGATCATGACCTGAGTAGAAACCAAGAGTTCATTGTCTAATCAACTGAACCACCCAGGTGCCCTAAAGTACACTTTATTTAATATTTAAAATTATTTATTTATTTGAAAGAGAGAGAGAGCCCAAGAGCAAGGTGAGGGGCAGAGGGAGAAGCAGACACCCCACTGAGCAGGGAGTTGGACATGGAGCTCAATCCTGGGACTCTGGGACCATGACCTGAGCTGAAGGCAGAGAGATGCCCAACTGACTGAGCCATCCGAAAGCACCCTGCCCCCAAGTGCACATTAAATGAGAAAAAAGCACGAGCTTGCTTCCACAAATATAAATTGTTTGAAATAGTCACATAAAATTTCTAATCAAAACTTTTAGCTTTTAAAACTTTTGTTACCATTGGTGAGAAATGTGTTCGTGCAATTTTTAAAAAAAGATTTATTTGAGGGTGTGGAAAGAGCGAGCTTATGCTCCCCATGCGTGGGGGAGGGGCAGAGGGAGAGAATCTTTTGGCCGGCTCCCTGCTGAGCTCGGAGTTTGAGGTGGTGGCCTTCATCCCATGATCCATGAACTCAAGACCTGAGCCAAAACCAGGAGTCTGCCGCTTGACCAACAGAGCCACCCAGGTATCCCGTGTTCACACAATTTTAAGTTTTTATTTATTTTCCAACCTTGAGGAGTAATTGACAAATATTATATATATTTAAGGTGGACAATGCAATAATTCAAAATACATTGTGAAATGCTTAAAAAGTTTTTAAAGCTATTTTTGCAAACACTTGAAAATTTATTCAAGTTAAAGAATCATGTATTTTTTCTTTAATCAACAAATGTAATTCTGCCATTCCTCGTGACGATGCAAATGGATTTCAAATCCAGTCAGACTTTGTTGTAAGGAATATATCAAAAATGAAACTCTGAGGAGCCTCTGAGGAGCTGAAAGCACAACTAGAGTGGAAGCTGCCGGAAGTGCGGGGCGAAGGGGGAGGGCCCAGCAGGAGCCACGCCCCCTGCTCGGGCCTTCTTTCCCGCCGCGCAGGCTGTTTTGCGTCCCGTCGTGGGGGCGGGGCCTTCGTCCGCAGCCGCAAAGGCGGCCCTGAAGCAGTAGGTCGTTCTGCGCCCAGCTTCTCGAGCCTAGCAGTGAGTGTTGAATGGCCCTTACGTTAATACCTGGGGGCCCCTGCTTGGTTGCCTCAGAAAAGTCTGGGTGGAGGCTGCTTTGGGGTGGCGGGCTCCGGGCACCTGCTCTTCCCCCAGCCCTGAAGCTGCCCCGG